GCCCAATCCATCTCCACTTCGTTCCAGCGCATATTTGTTCAGCCATAGGTTTTTGGTTGGTTTGTCGCCAGATTTCCTCGTTGTTAATTCTTTCTGGCCATCCGTCTGAGCTTCAGTAACCAGCAAGAATAGGTGGCAGTTGTTGATGAATATCTGTAGTATGTTGCAAATGCCTTTCGTGACACGCCAAGTTTCTCGACCATCACAGAGAAGCACTGACTTGACTGGATTTGTGTTGAAAATCGGGATGTTGTTCACACTTTCTGCTGATTGCAGTGCGGAAGATCTCCACACTGGTTTCAGGTTAATGAACGCCTGTCTTGCTGTGTTTCGGATCCTGTCTGACTTTGACGTCCTCGTCAGTGCCGCCTGTAGTTGAGACAGTGCCGTCTAAGAGGGTACGTGAACGAGGCTACTTCGTATAAGTTCCTCCTGTTGATGGTGATTGTAGCTTGTCGTTTTTGGTGGTGGTGGCATTGGTTGGGTATGTTCATCACCTCTGTCTTCTCTACGTTTACTTGGACCACCGTTTTCTCTGGCTTTCTTCATCTGTCAACTTGTTAGCTTTTGTTTGTAGATGTTTGAGTTTGTGCAACATTAGACACAAGTCATCACTGGCGAAATCCAAAGCTGTGATAGTGTTGCTACATTAGGCAATTCATGGTTAGGCAGGATCTGGATTCCTTTAATTCCATTTAAACAGTCTTTACATTCAGTAATCAATAATGAGTTTTTTATACGACTCATGTAAAGTGAGTTTTCTCACTTAGGTTATTTATAGGCACAGTGAAGTCTTGGTGTTTTCAAAATTGCGATGTTATTATACTGTTAATCACTCATTGCTCGATTTTGTTTTGTATTTTCAGTTTCACTACTTGCATAATCGTTAGTAGTTAAGGTAATGGCAGTAAATTCACTTTCATGAGGAAGAGTATCTAAACTAGAACACTGTTAAACATTTCACTTATCAGGAATTGATCATTCTTAGGTTCCTGATTCAAGTGAAATTATGGATGAATTAGATGTGATATCAGTTCCTTCTATGAGATATTTGATATCTGAACTTATCTGAATCGCACTAAGTGAAAATGTTTTGTTAAATAGAGTGAGTCTGCTGTTTATTTGTACGCCTACTTCAGCCAACATTGTGTGACGAGGCAGTTGATGACTAGACGTAGGTAATACATGTCCCAATCATCTCAATCGATGAAGGTTCACAACCTCGTCAACTGATTTACTTCTACTCCCTAAAACTCTATACCTGACTTCTGCGTTACTCACTCACATGGTGACACCACGGAATACGGACTATGCTACGAAGTCAACGGTGGTCAAACACTTCAAGCTTTCTCATATATTTCACTTTCAATGGTCATGTTTCACAGTCATATAGTAGAATAGACAGGACTGCTGTGCACGTGTAGTACACATAACCCTTAATAGGCAAACGGATAAGACGGCGGAACCATAGGTGGCGTAAATTGGCAAAAGTCAATCGAGCCCTTTTGTATCCGTGTAGAGATCTCATCGGCCACTGACTAGTGAACCAGGGCTGATCCTACTTTCTAGGTAAGTGAAGTGGTTGACACACTCGACCACTTTACTCTCTGTTGTTAGCCGTGGTACCGCTGAAGACCAATCCTGGAGCAAAAGTTTGCATTTGGGTGGTGAAAATCGCATCCCATCAGCGAAGAAAAAATATTTTTTCAACAACTTCATTATCAAGCTGTACAATCGTACTCATGATTGCTAAAATGGCAAATAAATGCAGTGAAAAGTCTCCGAGTCAATGAGCAGAATACGCAATAGGTTTTCCTGATGGTACTTGTTTACGTGGAAGAAATAGAAACATGTTGAGTGAACGATCTGCTAAGACGTTTCAATGACTGTCACCCATCCATTAAATTCAATTCAACCTTTAACTTTCTAGACGTAATCTTTAAGAGAAGAGATGATAGATCAATTCAAAGGTCAGTCTATCTTAGACCAACTTGCACAGATCAATTCAATAACTTCACTCTCTGTGTTCCAGAATCTACAAAATCTGTTCAGAAGACATGGTTGATGTTAAAATTGAAACCCTTAAAATAACATTATCGAATAACAGATACTCTAAAAGATTTACTGATAAAAATCTGAAGAAACGAATCACCCCTTATCCTATAACATTTCATAAGAAAATCTTAACCATGAGTCTGGAGTTCAAAGCAGACACCACAGTTGAAGTACTGAAAAACCGCCCGTCAAGGTGTATCAATAGTAGCTTTTATGCTGCTAGACTGAGATTGATATTCTCCGGCCGCCAATTGATTCGACAATGCATGAAGGATAGGCTACCAGTTATGTCCATATCCAAAAGTATTTACAAATTCATATGCTAAGCTGTAGTTCACTATACTGAACTTTGTAAGCGGACCCTCCAAAAACGTGTAGCTGAACATTACCCAGTTTGGCTTACCAAAAGGGGAGCAAAGGAAAACAACTTCATCCATATATGAACGAACATCTAGTATAATTAGGTCATTCAACACCTCAAAATTCATCCTTGAAACTAATTTACAAAGTTCAACTGAACTATCCCCAAAGTCTACGTTACCATCACTTATGCATAGCTGAACAGAAACCGGAACTTTCCATTCAAAAACATTTTATGAAACCACCTCTCTCTCTACCTTAGCCTTCGCGAATCACTTTTGGTTACTTTCGTCACTTCACTTTGGTTTAGTATATTTCTCTTTTATTATCAACATCATCATCATCAATTTTCACTTCATTGACAACATTTCACCCATAATCTCATTTCATTCCTTATTCATTAACCCACTTTGCATACTTCAGTGAATTTATCATCGTTCTACTATTCTTTGACAGCAAGTGTCTCTTATCTCACTGTTTGTTATCAATTTGGTCCTTCCTTATTGATGGTGACCCATTTTCCATTTCTTTCACTTAAACGCATTCCACCTCCAACACCAACTGTATGTTGACTGAGGAACTCGTTTTAGTGAAATTATCTATCACTTTACTGAGTATAAATACAACTGTACAGGTTGATAATGAAGTCGTTGAAAAGAAATGCTTCTCGTTCACTGATACATGCTTTGTTCTTGTTAAGGTGAAAATTTTAAGTAGATGAGAAATCGCATGATTGAGTGTTCACTTGATAGATAGATGTAAAGAAGGTGAAGAATTAGACAAGGGTTGCATGGAATATTACAGTAGTAACAGTAGTAATGGATGATAATAGTTGTCTGCCATCTGCGCTTATCAATGTTTGTGAATCCAGCTGCTTTCGTAACCATTTTGGAACATTTTCTCCTACCCTTAAGTTCACATCACGATTAATCCTCCCTATGTATATTTGTCTACATACACCCATGTAAATTTATAAATGCAATGGGATGTGACGCAATCGTTTAGTTGTTTGGTCTTCTCAACTACGACAAGCTTAGCTGTCTAGTATATTTTACTAACAGCATACCTTAACCTTCGTCTTAATACTATGCTATTAGATTCTCCTCTGTATGGTAAAGCGATGTAAACGCATTTCTTAGAAACAGAGTACAGATCAGGTTTGAATCTTGACCGATTTTTGCAGCCGTTTATGAACTTCAATGAATATTCATTTTCCACTAATGTTCCCAGTAATATTTTGATATCATCATCCATTGAGTCCTCCGTACAAATACGCCGGATCCTTTTAAATAGACAAGTTACCAAACCTCGCTTGTAATGGGTTGGACAAGAGCTATGGAAACTTAAATACTGACCTGTCCAAGTAAGTTTCCTGTAGATCGACCGTTTTATTGAACCATCATTTCTACGACTTAGGAGTATATCTAAGAATGGCAGACGGTTTTCTTTCTCTTCTTCACTTGTCAGGCTTATGTTATTTTGTACGTTGTTAAGTCTTTCTAACAAACATGTTGCATCTTCATGCTTATCACATATCACGATTATATCATCAACATATCTTTTATAGAGAGTAACTTTATTGATGAGATCGCCAGTCATGCCTTCAATACGTGACATGTAATTATCAGCTAGCAATGGTGCTAAGGGATTTCCCATCTATTTCCCGTAAGTGTTCACCTTCAAATGTGAAATGAACTTTATCAGCACACAATCATAACAGCTCTCTCAAACACGTTGAGGGGATAGGGAAAGAAGGATTACTGGATGATATATGATCACAAAGAATGTCAATGGTTTTAATTAGAGGTACATTAGTAAATAAGGAGTTGACATCAAATGTATACAATCTCTTATCTTTGATATTAATATCACTGACATAATTAACAAGTTCAAAAGTATCTTTTAAAGAAAACTTACATAAATCATTTCGAATAGGAATTCAAGTTTTTGCTAACCATTTCGCCACTTTATGTGTAGGTGAACGCAACATGGAGAGTATAGGATGTAAAGGATTATCTATTTTATGAATTTTAGGCAATCTACATAGATTAGGTAGCTCAGACCCCATTGGTTCGAGGGAAGCAAATTCTTCCTTGTTGATAGCATTCGCATTCAAGAATTTTACTAGACTGAATGTTACTTAACATTCTAATTTTCTAAGGTCATCTGATGGGACATCACCCATAAATTTACTTTCATCGTTAAGGATGGACATCATCTTGTTTTTGTAATCACATTTGTCCATCACAACCATATTCGACTATTTATCGGGTTTGAGAATGATAATATCAGATCTATTTCGAAGTCTTTTTAGGGCTTTGAAATGTTGTGAAGTTAGGATACTTCACTGTCTTGGGCCTTAACTATGGAAATGATGGACAATATCCACTAGCTTAGCCTTCAATCAATTTTGATTATCTGAAGAGGTTGAAATAAGGCGAAATACCTCATCATAAAGATTTTCCAAATCTAAAACTTTTGTATAAGAAACCGAAAAAAATTGAATTCAAGGGAACTAATTGTTTCAAAATATTTATTCAAATAAGTAATGAACATTTTATTCAAATCTATACTTTCTATCAGGATTATTTGTTCACTGATAATACTCGATAAGGATGACCACATGGTGCATATCTAGTTGTCAATATATTATCACATTTTATAGATGATCTACATGATTGTTTTTTCAAGTTTTTTACTTGTTCCAAATATTTTTGTCCCTGTTAAAAATAAAAGTTAAATTGATTAGTCAAACAAACATTTCATGAATGGGAAAATGAAACTCATATCCTGGATTCCACTGTTAACCACTATCCATTATTAATATATACATATATATATATATATATATATATATATATATATATATATATATATATATATATATAACTGAAACAGAGGTAATATCGAGGCATTTCCACTAGAGACCATGTGCCAATAGAAGCGGATCAAGTTCACTTCAAGCAACACAACATTAAAACTATATCTGTTACACAACAAGTGATTATCGTAACTTCGGGACCTAGAATCGATCTGTCCCGGGTTCGAGTCCCAGTAGGAACAAAACTGATTACTGGGAAGCAGAAATATTTAGCTGACAAGTTAGAAATGGGACAAAACTCGCTTCCCAGATTCAACCGTTGGCCAATATACATTATTATTATGAAAACTAAATAGCTTGCATCGATTTCAGTTGGAGAACACTGCCACCGGAAAAATACTAAAAGGTATTTATGTTCTGCTAGTCAACAACAAACGAGAAATATGTGGATTGATGGGATGAAGGTGACTTTCTGCAGAGGAAAATGAGATCTATTCCTGTACATCTTGTCATCAGGACAGAATACCACCTTCGGTATCATTTGGGGAAGCATTAAAACGCTAAAACCTATGAGTATATGTTTCCTTCTAGTGTGAGATTGTTCTGCAATGCGCACCAATCATCTCACAAGAGAATTTAGTACAGTTAAATAATCAAGGCATAGATAGTCCAGTTATCAGATATTCGGATTCACTTCATAATGATATTGACTTCAATGTCAGCGAGTATAATTCTCTTCTAGACCATCTAATTAACACAAACCAAAAAACATGAAATCCACCTGTGGATTCTAATCAATTGACAAGAAAAAAACTGTACTGATGATTTCTAGTTGATTATCTCACTGTCATTTCCACCTATAAATCACAACAGTTTGTCCATATCAGTAGATAGATAGTTATGGATAAGTTATTCAAAGTATCCCTCATCGCCGACATCTTGATCGATTCAGGTGGAATGAAGAAGTGTTACGCATGAAATGGGTCTAGTCTGAGAAAAGTCACACGTCTGTCTTGTCGTTTCCTTCAGTATGAGCTTGGCAATAAAGTGTAAGGTTCCCAGCTGTTTTCCATCTGACAATTGAGATCAGTGGTTGAAGACTCTATCTGATATGTTTTCAAACCGATTTAGATGACACACAAATATATAGTCACACTTTATTTCCACTTTACTGACAATGTTGCATTTCGCTATTTGTATAAAGCAAGATTCCTGTATTTTGATGACTTTTCATGATATTATCTTGAATTCTACATCATCCTTCCATATTGCTCGCTGTCTTCTAACCTCATGTTTTGATGTAAGCTGTGTGAAGTTCCACTTTCTGCAATCGAGCAAAATGTGGCAACCTGAATGCTTGTAATTCTATCTGAGAATTCACATTGACATGTTTAATTTTCTGCTAGCTAAATAAGTTGAAAACTGTTAGTCAGAAGTCAGAAAGATGATAGACAGAATCAATGTAGAACCTCGCAAAGTAATACACTAGTTCAAATGGCTAAAATTTACAATAGAATACCAAGAACAGATGGATAGAAAAGGAGCGATTTCAAGGTATATAAAGGATTATGGGATGATGATGAATGTAAAAATGAGTGAAGATGCGGCACTGTAACCAATTTTCCAGCCATGCAATCAAAGTTCTTTAACCATTGATTCCAGTCATCTCGAAGAAAGCAGTCAGGTAGTCTACAACTCTTTACACGGCCAACACCAACGGTCAGAAAGGTATGCCAGGTCTCGATCTAGTCTATTTGAGTCTGTTTCTAAATAATCCAACTTCCTCTATCAGTTTACATCCAGGTAGGAAGTGGATAGCCCGGAAACAGCGACACATATTGAAGTCAGCTCAGTCGAGCAAGGTTCACAACCTCATCGACCACCTTCGCTTCCTTCTTTAAAATCCGTAGCCTAACCTCAACATTCTTCACATGGTGACTTCATTATACTTAGAAACCTGTGATTAAAAACTTGTAACCACTTCATACCTTCTAATTTTTAACAACCATGTTTCTCATCCGTATAAGAGGACATAATAGACTGCAGTACAGAAAGATGAGAACTTTACATTCATTGGTCACTGCAAGGTAATCAACTTCATGTTGTCTAATCCTAAGTGCTGACTGAATTCTAATCCATTCCTACAGGAGGTCAGCCGCAGCCGCAACAGATCAGTGGTGACGTGGGTTCGAACCCAGGACAGGACATCAGTTCCTTCGAGGTTGCAGATTTGCCTTACTGACGAGTGTTGGCAAGCACGATATCTAGGTCCAGGGCTTCCTATCAATTGCCTCCATCCAACTAACTGATGAGAACTTTCGTTTCTAAAGCGTGGTTATCAGTACAACAAAAACCATGAACTTCATTAAACTTTTGTACATAGGTTTTCTACACATAAGCGAATACCTGGTCGAAAATCCTCTATTCTCTCTATTCCACAGTGATATCTTTGGTTTCAGTTTAGTTTCCACTACTTTCGTATGCACCTTCTTCTTCTTCCCCATAAGCTTACCTCTAAACAGTTGGTTTTGGATACTTCTTCAAGTAACTTTTGTAGTCAATGCAATGAACTCACCTCCATGTATCACGGTTGGTATGTTTCTGCGTAGTATTTTTATGCTCCTGTTTCGAATTTCACTTGCCGCTTGTTTTGTTATTCATTTTTCAGGTTTACCTAACCAGTCCTTCATCCTAATGGAATCCTAGTAATTGCATTTGTCAGAGTGCACCATGCAACCAGAACTTTATGACGAACGCACACAACCCAAGGTCACGGCTGTGCTCCCCACCCTACCTTCAAGACTATTGGAAGATTCAAACAATAACCGAATAATTCTTGTTTTCGAACTATCTTGCTTCAGTATGATAAACAATTACGTTGGTGTTTATCTGTTTTATTCTTTGCTGTCTGTGAAGCAATAACATTCTTTCTCTAGACACATCTCTTATGTGCCGTAAATAACGGTGTCTAATGTATAGGTTGATATTGTTCAGTTCATATTACCAAAATGATCAAACCTGCAAACTGGTTTGTTTTCATATAACTTATGATATATGAAATATATTATTATTATAGTAAATGAAGTGTTTAACGCACTCAACCACTTCACTCTCTATTTTAGTCAGGGTACCACTAAGGACCAGTTCTGGAGCAACAATTTTTACTTGGATGGGGCGGAAAGCATTTTAAACATTCTCTGAAGGTGTCTAGAGGACTCTACATCTTATCAGAGTCTTCTAGCGACAAGACTATGTCACCTGCGTATTCTAGGTCTACAAAAATTCCTCTGTGATTAGGTTAAACCTTGTGTAGTTAGATGACAAGAGGGAGACCTTCATAAGAAAGTCTTTGACAAAACTGAATAGGAATGGAGACAGTAGGCATCCTTGACGTACATCACTCGATATACACAACTCACCCGATATCTCACCATAGGCTCTAACAAGTCCACAGGTGTTCGAATAGACAGCCTTCAATAAGGTGATTGACTTGCTTGGTACCTCATTCAATGAGAAACACTACCATAAGACATCCTAGTCAACGGAGTCAAATGACACGTTCAGGCTGACAAATACATCTGTTGTCCGGCTTAGATAAGCGTGTCTATGTTCTAGAACTTGCTGAAGTGTGAATATTTGGTTAATGAACCTACGACAGTGTCTGAAGCCTGTCTGGCATCTCTTATATGTCATGAATAACGGTATCTAATGTACAGCTTGACGTTGTACATAACAGTCAGTTCATATTACTAAAATGATCAAACCTGTAAACTGGTTTGTTTCCATGTAACTTATGTTATATGAAATAGATTATTATTACTATTATTATTACTGTTATTATTAAATCTGAATACAAGAAGAGGTAGATAATTCCATCTATCTTGTATTGAATAACTTTTAATCATATCAAAAGTAACGGATAAAAGAAATTTTATAACAGATTATAAACATACCGCGTCAAGTTCATTTGTCAATAGAATTAATTCATGTTGTGGAAATGGCCAATTCAATTTTTCAAATGTTTTAATTATACACTTATAATCTTGATACCAACATAATTTTGATCGCCATTTTTTATACTTATCAAGATGAACATCTTTACATAGACTATTTAAAGATTCATTATTCAAGTATTGAAAAATTATTTCAATTAACTTCCTAGGATTAATTAAGAGGTCAAATATGTAAAGATTGAAAATATTCATGAATAAATAATTTATTGAATAAAAACATTTAAACAAGAACCATTTTCAGTAATTGATGCTTGTTATACTAGATGGAATTAATCGATTGCCACTGTTAACATAATATTATTTGTCCTTTGGGTTCCTAGTGGAACATACAACTTCAGTAGTACATCTCCATTCCACTCTCTTCTCCGCAATCTTTTCAATCTGTCCACAAGCTCTCATTTCTTCCTCACACCATCTCCTCCATATCACCCTCAGCTTAGGACGCTCAACTCGCTGTTTCCATCTGAGTTTCACTCGAGTGCCTGGCCTCGTACATGATGTCCCCATTCACTCTTCTCAGTGCCCGCCCAATCCATCTCCACTTCACTCCAGAGCATATTTGTTGAGTGATAGATTCTCGGTTGGTTCATCACCAATCAGCCAGAGTTCCTTGTTGTTTATTCTTTCTGACCTGCTGATCTGATCTTCAGTAACGAGCAGGAGTAGATGGCAGTTGTTGATGAATATCTGTAGTTTGTTGGAAAGGTTTTCGTAACTCGCCAAGTTTCTCAACCATCATAGAGAAGCAGTGACTTACTTGACTGGATTGGTGTTTCGAATCAGGATGTTGTTCATGCTTTCTGCTGATTGCAGTGCAGAAGATCTGTACACTGGTTTCAGGTTGATGAAAGCCTGTTTCGCTTTTCCGATCCTGTTGACATATAGACTACCTAAATATGTGGGTTGCTTTCATGACTCAGTAGTTTAGTGCACAATACTGTAACGTGGTGAAATTCAGTTTCATTGGGAACAACGTCATTGATCAGGTACATCCAGCTGACACGTTCTAAACAGCATGACCTAGATTCCACTACAAGCTTGTATCATATAAATTACACTGTAATAAATAATTAGGAAATAACGAGGCGTCCGGAATGGCGCCATCAAACGTTGTTCATTTCCGTCCAGAAGGTGGCTCTACGCCACAGCAGTCTAGTGGATGACAATGTGTAATGTTAGAAGCAATGGGTGTTAGGATCAAGGTCAAGCGTCACTAGGATGGAGGTATAACCAATTGTTAACTCTTAAATATAAAGAAACGCCTGTTTTGCTATCCGTTCAGTAGTCATCAGCAAGCCATTTAGGATCCATTACCGGCTGTAAAAAGATTCAATGAGGCTTTCTGTTAAAATACACTAGATGAGGTAATGTTTCTACTTGATCATATTTATAGCCACTGTAGACCTTTATCGACTACTAGGAACCAAACCAAGACAGGTTATCGATCATAGGCATAAATGCCAAATTCAGACAACTAAATCGGCTAACTTTAATCATTGATACATCATTTTAGCTTTTTGTAGGGTGTTGTATTAGTATAATCGCTTGTATTATACCGTCGTTGATTGGACAGAATTGATTGGTCTCTGTTGGTATATGAACACGTGTAAGTATGCCTCGATACTAAACTATACTCGTTGAACAGGAAGTGGCTATAGTGACTCGGTGATGGATAACGTTATAGCGTTTGAAGTAATCGGTCCCGAGTCTAAAATCTCGATTGGAATAATATCACTCACTGCGAGGCAGGTTCATTCAGCCGACGAGTGAGTCCCAAATAAGATGAAGTGCTCACTGCTAGCCACTATTCACCGTTAATAAAATTAGTTTTCAACCAGCGAGACCAAATCATATAACCAATAAGAATAAAAATAGAGGAGAAACAAGAACTGGTTCTTTACAATAAGTCATAAATCTCAGGCTGCTATTCATCATAAATTACCAATTGGAAACATGAGAGCATTGGAAATATGTGCCTCCCAAGTATGGAACTTTTTAGCAGTGGTCATTCATAACTCTCACCCTATCCCAGAGACGATACAAAACCTGCCGTATGACATCGACCTACGGAGATTAGACCACAAATTTGACTTTCAATCGAAAGAATATAACCAAGGGATAAAATCATTCACAGGTTACAATAGAATAGCGATCTACTTAAACAGTTTTCAAAATATAATTCGGAATTAATAATAATAAAGCCCGGACATGATCTTTCTCAATGTAAATTTCAGGTTTGATCAGTTTTGTTGCTGTAGCCTTAGGTAATATTGAGCAGGCGTTAGTGAGCTATGCGTAATATTGTTTTCGGAATATGATGAATGAAACTGAAAGTTTTATGTGCATCTATGTAGCGTTCTGTTTCTACTAGGTAGGCCAGTATAGAACTTCCACTTCATTTTTTTCGAATCAAACTAGTGAATCCTATCGTATCCGAAGACGCACCAGACTAATAGTACACCCTATATAGCATGTTCCACAAGAACAGTTGAATCGTTATACGCAAGTTAGTGACCTAAGATTAGGTAGGATATCCTTTTGGTCTAGGATGAAACATTAACCGACCACTGAAAGATATGCAAAGATGATCCGTATAAAGCGTTCTATTGACTATCCTAGCTTGGTGTTGTACAACGGGTGATTCTCATACCTTAGTAACCTAACGAATAACGCTCTGGTGTTTGAAGCAGTGAGTCACGTGTTACAGTCTCCCTGACAGCATAATCAGTTAGTAAGATTCTGATAAATTCAGCTGAAGAGTCTCAGATGAGACGAAACCCACATACTATATCCTATTGCTAACCAACATTAAACAGATTTCATTAGAAACAACTGGATATTATAATGTACTTACTTTTCAATAGTGAATAAAGCATTTCTTAAATTCTTTTCATATTGTTCAAAATTAATTGCCAATGGATTGAATAATCGAATTTCCGGACACTTCAATAACTTTGTTCTACTCACATATGCAATAGGTAAAGTTTGTTTTAATACCTCTGAGACAACATGATGACCTAATGCTGGTATATATGTAGGACGTAGAGGAACAGTGAATGATTTCAATAGATCATTGAAACGAAGCTGTTTTGCGGTTAAACTATGATGTGATAACCATTCTGGAATAGTATAACTAACAATTCATGTAGAAAAGTGTAAGTGTTAACGTTTGTTTTTTTTGTGGATAAAATTTTATGCAAAAAAATCAATAAAAATGGGTATTATTATCAAATAAATTGTTAAATCAAGAGGTTTATTGGAATATGGTGATGGTTGAGGGCAATGTGAAAGTCTTTATCGTAGTAAGACTTAAACCACAGACCTTTGGACTACTAGCCCAATAATCTATCAAACTGAGCTGGGAGACTCATCTGCTTACTAGGTTTTTGGATTCCATTTCAGCCACTAAGTGTTTTATCTAGATGTTTATTGTTCATTATGATCTTACCGGTTGCCAAGTTACATATTGTGACTGAATTAGATATTTATTTGATCGTTCACCTCAGAGAATGTAAGATGAAAGTGCTAAACCCTTTATGCTATGATTATACTTTCATTACCTTAAAAGCAGCTTAATTGACTTCTTTCTCTCTTCTCTACAGTCTTCTTTCTTAATATGGCTCCACTACCGCCTAAAACCTTTCATTTCTTCCTTACACAATCTCCATGTCAACCTCCGACACCCAACTCATCGTTTCCTATTCGAGTTCCACTCAACGGCCTGACCTGGTCTGCTGCGTGATGTCGCCAAGCGGTCTTCTCAGTTTATGTCCAATCCAATCCATCTCCACTTTCGCCTCCTGCATATTTGTTCTACGATAGGTTCTTGAGTGGTTGGTTCGTTCCCAGAGATCCTTGTTGCTTATTCGTTCTCGCTGTCCTTTTGATATTCAGTATCTAGCGTAGATGGCAGCTGTAGTTTGTTGGAAATGCTTTTCGTAATGCGCCAAGTCTCTCAACCATCACATAGAAGTACTGACTCACTTGACATAATTAGTGTTGAAAATCCGGATGTTGTTCACGCTTCATACTGAGTGCAGTGGAGCGCAGTGCAGATTGATGAAAGAAGGCCTGTCTTGCTGTCTTTCCGATCCTGGCTGGCTTTGACATCCTCATCTGTGCCACCGCCATCACCTGTAATTGAGACAATGTTGTCATGGTAGGTAGGTCAGAGAGACAACTTCTCGTAGATTTCTACCATTCATGGTGATTAGTGTTTGTCGTTGTTGTTATTGTTGTTATAGGTTACGTATCTTCATCACTTCTGTCTTCTCTACCTTCACCTTAAGGAAGTCCCGTCTTCTTTCACTGCTCTACCTAGCCTCTTCTGCCAACTAGTTGATTTTCATCTGTAGATCTTCGAGTGTGCGCGACATTAGATACTGGACATAAATCATCAGGGAAATCTAAATCTTCTAGTCTCTTTCCATCGTTTCAGCTTATGCCCATCTTCTCGCTCCTCACAGTTTGTTTCATAATCCAGTCGAGTCCACCACAATCAGGAAGATCATCGGTGACAGTAGGCCGCAACCTTATCTTGTCCTACTCCTGTCTTCATTTCAAAGCCATCACTCAGCTTTCCATTGTGTTGTGAATCACTTAGCATGTAGCATCCTCATATAGCATATATCTGCTGTTGAATAACTTTGATAAGGATTTGTGTCACTAAAAGTGTAGTGTTGAACCACCTGCCAAATTACTTCTCGGTCAACGATGTCGAAGGCCTCTTCAAAGTCCACAAGGTTGAAGTAAACTTGACTGGCATCCTATGCTGTGTTCTATGATGATGGGTAGTGTAGCGTTGCAGTTTGATCCGCACATCATTTGTTCTGCATGAAGGCACCCAACGTGTTCTGGTCGTAATTTTCAGTGCAGAGCATTTTCTATTCTCTCCAGGATGGTGCGGCTTAATATGTTGTTTGGTGTGGTTAGGAGTGAAGCACAATCGCGTGCCAATTCCTGCGAAGACTAAGGTCTCCCTTCTTTGTGAGTTTGACAAGGTATCCCTTCTTCCAATCCATCAGTAGGTACCTTCTCTTCCTTCCTTCCTTCCTTGCTTGCAAGCCTTCGGCAATAGTGATTTGAGCGTGTGGGCTACTGTCCATGCATGTGTTTTCAGTGCTTCTGGCTGGATTCCGTCTGATCCTTCTACTTTCCCGACCTTCAGTAACTTTATGGTGTTCAGAACTTCGGCTTTTGTTGGAAGGCTTGTGTTCACCGATAGTTCTATGGTTTCTGGTGATATTTCTGGACGAGTTGCAGGTGGTGGTGGTCGTCGATCCCAGAGTTTTTTGAAGTAGGTCAGCCCATTGTTTTCTTTGTTTCTCCTCTTGGGTGGTAATTAGGTTTCCTTCACTATCTTTCATTGGTTTCATCTATGTTGATGTCTTCCCAGATAGTAAGTAACCTAGTTATTTGATATAATGTTGTCATGTCCCTCCTACTTGCAGGCTGTTCTACTTCACTTGTCAATGTGTCAAGCTTCTTACCATTAGGCAGTCGTTGAAAATTCTTCCCTCTATGCCTTGAGGTAAATAACATTTCTGAACAAAAAGAATAAGTAATTTTTTGGCGAGTACTATCAAGGCCACAAAACCTACTGAAATATAATTTGAGATTTTCAGCCGATTGCCAACAACCAAGCACCAAAAACAAAGTGCACCGTAATGCTGATTATTCTTATTTGCTGACTACATTACCAAAGGATAGGTATAGTCATATAAGCATTCAGGATGAGACAGTATAAAGTTGTTTACCCTCCAACGATAAATCACTCGATATTAACATCTCTGACTGTAGCAATGTGTGACGTGGTTTCGAACCTCACAGGACATTTTACCGATAACTTTAATACACTGAATCCTATAATCTCAATTGTAAAGTTAACTCTTTATTAAAAATTTCATTTAAACCAACTGAAAATCACTTAATTGATTAGTACAATGTTCGAATAAGTAAATAATGTGGTGTAATCACTCGACCACTAGCCGACGGTTCGAACCCCTTTCCACCTACCAAGGTCTAGCCTACCAGATAGTAGTATCATTAGCCTTTAAACAATAAATGTGACTCATCACCAACTACATGAACATAAATTTAGTTAGTGGATGCATTTCAGTTCTAAAAATCAACACAAATTGTAAGTCGTTTAAACGCTCCAGTTGTTCACCTAGCAACTATTACTAAGCATAGTATAACTAGTAATTTGTGCATAAAATAACTTCTAAATTATTGTTATTCTTCAGATGTCTGATATTCTTTCGTTACTATAAAGTGATTAGAAGATTAATATTATTTGAAGTTGCTATTCATCTTAGACTGACACCAGTTGGAGGAACGAAGGAAACCTGGAGCACTAAACGCCTGTTTCGTCCAACTAGTATGGGACTCCTCAGCAGTGTGCACCCACGACCCGCCCTCCAGGCATTGAACCCGAGACCTATAGGTTCCGCGGCCAGCATGTTATCAATGAGTCACTGGATGAGAACCCAATGATCAATATTTCCAACTTTTGTTAGCTCACGATATACCGCATTCGTCACCCAATGTCATCGTTTAAACAGCTGTCCAATGCTCCTAGGTTTCCTTTATTCCTCTAACCGATGTCAGTCTACAATGAATAACTACTTGAAATATTTCCAATTCCCACAACTCCCTCAAAATTCAATTGAACTGGTACTCATTGGTGACTAGCTCCGAGAGGGTATTCCCGAAGTTCCAATGAGAAGTCGTGACCGGTGGAGTCAAAGCCTGATGGTCGTGAGGACAATTACTCAGCGATGACATTGGATGGCGGTTGCACCATATCATGAGCTAACAGCAGTTGGAAATATGGACCACTGGGTTCTCATCCAGTGGCTCAATGGTAACGTGTTGGCCACGGAACCTGAAGGTCGCGGGTTCGATGGGGTCGTAGGTGCGCACTGCTGAGGAGTCCCATATTAGGACGAAACAGCTGTCCAGCGCTCCAGGTTTCTTTGTTCCTCCAACTGATGTCAGTCTACGATGAATAACAACTTGAAATATTTTCAAATCCTTACAACTCCCTCAAAATTCGATTGATATTATGTTTAACATTTTGTAACAAAAAAATGACAATTTATCTCAATAATTAAAGAACTACTTACATTGTTCCTGATTTTTCAGTTCCATCAGCTGCTTTTTCGTCTTGTGCGCCGAAATTTCTTCTATAATATTGTTCAGTAAGCAGGAGTTAAAGATAAATACTTTGATTAACATTACTATTATCATTATTATTATTATTATTATTGGATGAGTAAAAACAAAAACAAAATAGAAGATACTAACAATAAAGTAGATGTAGGAGAGGACGAGGTTTTGTACTATTGTGATCTATCTTCAACTGTGTGACCAAGAGTCCGTAACCCCTGATTCCTATTGTATCTAGGATCTCAGCCAGGTAGTCTACACTTCCTTACATGACTCAGATGAGTACTACAAGAGAGTTCATCGACAGGTGTCACATTTTGATATAGCCTCTCTGAATCATCTTCTAACTTCCCTTGATATTGCACAGCGAGGGTTTATGAGCCACATCAATTCCAAGTGGTTTGTCTCAGTAATCTTGTCGTGATTTCTGATGTGTTCTTTATGTATGGTACTATGATACATTTATTGATTTCTGTCGATGACTTTGTAGTTGATGTTGTATGGGATAGGCATCTTCTGGTAAAGTTTCGTAAGTAGCCGTTCTTCTTTAGGATGGACGTCGAGCAATTTGCTTCGTTTCTCTGTGAAGTTGCTGTACTTCAGGTGGTATAGACATAGACCCGATCGATCAACCAATAAGATGACAAACGACAGAAGGGTTAGAGGGTCAAGCAGAGGGACACCCAACAGGAAAATCTATACAATCAGTTAATGACACAACAATCAAAGGAAACAACCAAATATTGACCGCTTTGTCAAGGCAAGCTACTAAATTACTGACGGAGAGATATTGACAGCTGACTTCATAGTGAAGTTAGGGCTGTGGATGATGTCGTCTAGAAGGACAATGAAAGCTTCAAGATTAAACAACCCAGCTTGCTCAGAGAACACAATACAACCAAGACCATCCACCTGAGTTACAAATATCCTCCACTATTTGTATATGATCTAATCTATCTCTACTTAGGTGCTTTAAACATAGACGGTTAAAACTAATCCTCATTAAAATTTGACATGACAGTATAGACAATCCAATGCATCGAATTGTCTTATCATTTAGCTTAGTGACAGGACTGTAAAACTTGATCAACTGGTGCTCATTGGTTCAGTGTTGTGAAGGCTTCAGTGATGGCTAGATTAGCTTTGTGGTAAAGTCTCTGAATTCAACACTAACTCACAGATATCTAACTTCAAACATTCAACAACCAAATACAATACACCGAAGTGTCGTATACCTCAGCCTACTCTTTACATCTTAAACTTGAATACGCTTTGTTCAGTGCATACCACTTAGAAGTAGAGATCACCATTGCTTTTTCATAGAAATTTTTATACAGTGTAAGTTCTAGATGATATCAACACGCTACCAAACATCTTACATCATGTGCATTGTAAAACAGGAATCAAAAATGCATCAGGTTGATAGTTTATAGATTACTGGCTACAGTCTTACCAATGCCAAAATATTTTTCTTTCACTTACTCAACTTTCTTTCTTTTTCAATGATTCATCATAGTTACTATCATTTCTTACTCTATAGCACAATTTATATTAAATGTTGTTCAAAGGAATTTTTGGAATGATGTCTGAGAGTTTCTTGTTTCAATCGCCTAAATTCTTTAAATATAACAAAGATGAATTCTGAGGGTGACAAAGAGCTAATTCACTGAAACTGGTTCTCCATAAAAGTGTTTTTTTTTGTAATATCAAGCTGTTTTAGAACTTATTCTCAGCCTTACCCACCTCATCTATATACTTACCTTAGACAATCTTACAGAACACCTAATACCTGCCTAGTATGTTTTGGCTTTTTTGATTATTCCCTACAGCTAGTAAGCTATAAAAACTCTGTAGAAGTTTGATTGATTGACTTCGATTGTTGACTTTTAACCAACTGATCATAGACTGAAAACTGGGCCAACTTATCAAAGTTTCACCAGTTAAGTAATATCATTACCTATTATACGACAGGTGTCGCTCGTTGCCTATTACATAAACGTATACTTGCTTATTAAGTATGTTTCATATTATTTTCAATTGATAACAGTTACATAACTAGGATGTTGAAGTAAATACTACTACTACTACTACTAACTGTTTGCAAATTGATGGTATATTTGCCTTTTAAAGTTAAGAATAAGTTCTTCTACAGAATCAAGTAATATTTCTAGCCAGGCTCTGATCGTACGATATATATTCACACACATTTATAAAATGCTCAGCAAATATGTCGAAGACGAAAGTGGAGGTGGATTGGGCATGCACTGAGAAGACCATTCGTGAACATCACGCGCCAGGCCAAGTCATCGAGTGGAACCGAGATAGGAAACCGCTAGTTGGGCGAGGGTGTCTGAGGGTGACATGGAGAAGATAATGTAAGGAAGAAATGAGAGCTTGTGGGCAGTGGTGGAGCCAGGTTGAAAAGATTGCAGAGAAGAGAGTGCACTGGAGACGTGCTACTGAATCGGTATGTTCCACTAGGAACCCAAAGCACAAGTGATAAATAATAATAATAATAATAATAATAATAATAATAATAGGAACACTTGTTATAGTCAGCTGATCTAAAGGCAAAAACTAACAAGTTGACAGAAGAGGCAAGGCAGTGAAGACGGGACTTCAAGTGAATGTAGAGAAGACAGAGGTGATGATGATACCCAACCACCACCACCACCAACAACAAGCTCCAATCAGCATCAATGGGAGAAACTTAAAGGAAGTAGTCTCTTTCACCTATCTAGGCAGCATCGTTTCAACTACAAGCGGATAGACGAAGACGTCAAGGCCAGCCAGGATCCGAAAGACTGCAAGATAGGCGTTCATTAACCTGAAACCAGTGGGCAGATCCACATCACTACACTCAGCAGAAAGCATGAACAACATCCTGATTCTAAATACCAATCCAGTCAAGTCAGTGCTTGTATGTGATGGTTGAGAAACTTGACATGTTACGAAAAGCATTCCCAACAAACTATAGACATTCTTCAACAACCGCCTCTACTGACTCGATACTGAAGCTCAGATGGCCAGAAAGAATAAGCAGCAAGGAACTCTGGCTGACTGGCAACGAACCAAACAAGAATTTATCACGCAAAAGATATACAGGAGACAAAAGTGGAAATGGATTAGATTGGACATACACTGAGAAGATCATTCGGGGACATCACGCGACAGGCCGTTGAGTGGAATCCAAAAGGGAAACGACGAGTTGGGCTTTCCAGCTGAGGGTGACATGGTGGAGATCATGTGAGGAAGAAATGAGAGCTTGTGGGCGGTCGTGGTGCCAGGTTCGAGGGATTGCAGAGAACAGAGTGGAATGGAGACGTGCTATTGAAGCCGTATGTTCCATTTGGAACCCAAGGGACAAATAATAATAATAATAATTATTATTATTATTATGAAATGCTTACAGCCCTCTGTGATGCAATGGTCAAATAAGATGAGGAAAATGCATCACAGTGGATAGCAACGTGTTTTGAAGAGAACAACTTTATCTCAGATGACTCTACCTGAGATTATAAATACAAACTGCAGGTGACTTTAGGGAAAAGTATATTATTTACATTCACTTATATCCTCTAATTTGCACCGTAATGCTTTAGTAATTATACTGCAAGAAACTTGGTTACATAAACTTTCATCAATACCCATAGGTACACTTTGAGTTATAAACAAATATTTATGTGACGCCTAGTTGTAGTAGCTCCGAATTATCTAGTTTTTCTGATATAATCACGATATTCGTAACCCTCATACTCTGTAGTTCCCTGTAGATAATATATAGTGATTTCAGTTCTTGTGACCGAAGATTTCTTAAAACTCTTGATTATCAAAACCTATTTAACTTCAGAACACATCAGGATGAAACATTAGACTTGATATTCATCGATGATATTGATAAATATGAACTTTCAAAGAGATTCCCACTACTCAGCTCAGATCATTACATTGCATTATACGTGTTTTACTGAAAAAATATGACAAAATACACAAAACAGCCTTCATATATAAGAAAATTGTACATAGGAACTATTCATATGGTAACATACTTTGAAAATTGTCAACAGAACTAGTTGATAAACATATTACTTTATGTAAACATGTAAGAGGAGTTATTTTATCAAATGATCAGCATCCTTTTCACTCAAAGATCTCTGTGTATTGGTCATCAAAGAGAACTAGAAGCAAGTATATCAAAGTATATGCATATACTATTCGATATAAAAACTCTACGATAGAGTATTTAGCTGGTTTTCGGTCCCTTGAAGAAAGTATTAACAATGAACTAACACTAATCAACTTCTGTTTTTCAAAGCAAACTAATTCACGACTACATAACTTGGTATTGTTTATGTATTATGATTGTCTACCTAAATTGACTGTGCAGTTTGAAGAAAGTTGTAGATAGAGCGAATATTCTTATCTTTTCTTCATATAACTTCTACTTATTTCATTTTCCTATGTATAAATGTACACTGTCTCTTTCCAAATGATCCTGTATGATATTCGGGAAATTCTGATGAGTCTTCCAAAAATAGCTTCCAGAACAAAGCAATATTTTTTAGTATAATTGTTTTTACATGATACCGTAGTTGATTGGATTGAATTGACCGATCAATTATACTAAAAACTATACCTGTCGTACAAGAAGTGGCTATCGTGGATCGGTGGTGTAGTGGATAACGCGCTGGCGTTTGAAGCGATCGCTGTCGAGTCCGAATCCCATTGGGAAGCAGGTACATCCAGCTGACGAGTCCCAATTAGGAGAAATGCGCATCCTGGATTCCACTGCTAGCCACGATCCATCACTAACAAAACCCTAGTTATTATTGTTATTATTATTATTATTATTATTATTACAGTTGTTTTACCTCGTTTAGCTTCATTGTACCGTTGACTTTGTCGATCCAGTAACTGTTTAGTTTCATATAAAACAAAATCGTTTCCACTGTCAACATTTGCGCATAGACTCTGTAGATTTGGATAATACGGATCTGTGTAAAAAAAGATTACCACTTATATTATAAGGCAAATGAACAAAGCTTGGTAATGAATCATAGGTAAAATGAAAAATCTGTGTCATTGTAGGATATGAACCAGTGGACTACAGGCTACTAACCCGATGCTTTGTCAACTAAGCTAAAATGTAATCATTTCGGTGTAGAACTGTGGTGTACACTTGTAGTAAGAGTATGAGATTGATTGGAATCCATTCATGTCTACTAACTAGGATGTTAGTAAAGAGGGAACTGGAGGTTTCCTAATGTTGTCTGTTATTGTCTGCTGTTCACAGTATTTTAAAAAGATATACTGAAAATCATCTGCAAACATTTTCTCCTTCAGTAGACTATCAATAATATCATATAACTACCACTGTTAATCTGTTTTCTTTTAGAACTTTTGACATTTCAGAGGTCATAACAAAAAGTTTGTTGGTCTCAGCCTCATGCATAAAGGTTCTTACACTTATACCCACCACTTATCTATAGTCAAATGATAAAATATAGTAGGATAATTAGTTCAAAGTTGGATCATACTGGCTCACTAAACGCTTATCAAGGAGGAAATCCACACTTCTTCTAAGCAATATATATATATATATATATATATATATATATATAAACTCGGTAATAGTTGCAACCCAATTCAACTAGGAGGTAGAAAATGAACATGCTGAACTGCAAAATAAAGCGTAGGGCAGACGGTGATTTAAATACTACAGTCTACAGGAAACCGACACATTCTAACAGGTATCAAGATTTCAAGTCATGTCATCCAATGTCAGTTAAGACAGGCTTAGTCAAATGTCTAAATGATACAGCCAGAAAACTAACAAGTCAGTGCAAAGGACCTAACCACAGAACTGAAGCAAATAAAAAGAGAGCTAACAGTTATCTTGTACAGTTTATGAAGAAATCCGTAGGAAAACATAAAAACGAAATAATAACAGTAATACGAGTACGAATAATAATAACAACAACATGAGTGGAAAGGAGTTCACAGTCTCTATTGTGTTACCCTATAAGGAAGCCACATCTACTTAGGATCCTCAACAAAATTGGAAGTCTCGTGGCATTTAAACCTACAAACTTACTCAGAGATAAGCTTTGTCAGCTGGCTTAAGGATTGATAGAACCAATTAAGTAAAATAATTAATCTATCAAATCCATATAATGACTGTGAGGTCAAGTACATAGATCAGACTAGCTACTTGGGGTCAGTTGGATAGAAGAACACAGTAATTTAGCCAAATATAGAATGACAGACCCCAATAAGATCCATAATCTACAAAAAAATGACTTAGCTATTGCAATGCATTCATTAAAAGAGAACTACACGATAGGATGGGTGAGATAAAACAACTGTACTACAGTCAAATATATTTAGGTGGAGATTGAAAGAGATCGATTTCTAAATCATTGTTCATCGAATCACCACCTTACACTCAACACATGTAATAAGAATGATGTGAAACAATCCAAAGCAGTGTAACAATGGGGAAGTAAAAGTATCAGTTAACAGCATCTGATACACGATCTACAAAAGGTGGCTTTTGTGCCCCAGTTGAAACAATATCACTGAGTGAGGTGCAGTCCCAAGTAGGTCGAAATGCGAGTCCCGGCCTCTGCTGAAAGTCACAAATCAGATTACAAGAAAACGTTAAGTATTTTTTCTAGATAGGCATTAAAACGTGAATATCTATTCAACAAATTCAAGAGGAACAACCAAATTTCACTGGTATTACGCTCAATAGGATTGTAGATTCTTTTGTTTGCCTTTGATGAATGATGCTGACAGCATATGTGATATAATTTTCACAGATCAGTTATGCAAAGGTTTAACAAGAATATAGGCATCATCATGATAATTAAGATGAACATAGTAGCAGGCATTACTGTAAAACGATCCAAGTTGCCACACTTCATATCACCACATCAAGTAACAAGGCAATAAAATGGAAGATGAAGACAGAAAGAAAAAGTGATCAAAAATGAATGAGGAAATGGTAAGATTAAGTATAGCGGTTAAAATAAGAATAATGTGCTTATACTTCTGAGCTATATCGTCTAGAGTTTTGAACCATTGGTTTCTCTTGTCCCCCCCGACCCCAACCGACTAGCCTGCACTATCATACATGGCTCAGATGAACAGTCAAGGACTTCATGTATTGCTCCCATGTTTTAGTCTGACCACCTCAAACCTTTTTCTAGCCTAAATCCACTTTGATCAAAATTGTACGACAAACCAGACGGTAGCTAGGCATACGTAACGTACGTCATGGACATCTCAGTCGACGATGGTTCAAAAACTGCGTCAGAATCTCTGGAAGAATTTATCCAAAATCAACAGTATACATAGGTAGGAACATTAATAATAATAATAATAATAATCGCTTTAGTAATGATGGGCAGTGGCTAGCAGTGGAATCCAGGATGCGCATCCTGGAATCCAGGATTCCACTGCTAGCCACTGCCCATCATTACTAAACATAGTTAAAAGACAGGCCATATCGAGGCATCCGCATAGGAGCCCATATGCTAACAGAGGCTGAATAATTCGGTCCTATCAACGACGGTGTAATACAAGCAATAACACTAAAATAATACTCGCTTTATTCCAAAGAATATGTATGAAATTCTCAGAATATAATTTTTCAACAGATTCACTCCCAGAACAACAATACTTTCAGATGAAATGATTACTGCATCTATATAATGTTAATAGTAATAGTATTGAAGGCAATAATGTGAAGTAGCCAACTGGTTTTGGATGGGCATCCAGTTCATAATGAACAATAAGCAATAGAAATCCAAGTTTAATTTGGATTGTGACAGTTCATTCAGACAGTAACTCAATGTAAGCATCTAACAGATAGAAAATATGATGTATGTTTATGCATTGAAACTTGTATTTCTATATAACGTAACATTTTTTTCTTCTCTGTTTTGTGATGGACTCAAGAAACCAATGGTTGACAATAATTTAAAATGTGCCAGAGTATATGATACATTCAAAAGACACATTTAAATGATTAAAACAAAATTGAAAGGAAAGAATATAATGAAAAATGTTCAATGAATAACCACTGCCACTGCTATCGGAACAATGTATTACAACTAGACAACATAACTGTCTACTTATGAAAAACACTTAAAAATGATTTGAAAAGTTAAGAACAATGTATATCAAAAGAAAAACTATATGATTATTTACCATTAGAAAGTTTTTGAATTGGTTGCCATTTTCGAATTGTTGACTTTTTGGAATTTATTGTTTTAGATTGATTAAACAAAACAGTTGAACAATGTATCAACTTAGCTTTTGTTTTATTGTTAATATTATGATCATTATAGGTAGATTGATGACTAGAATAAGATCTTTTACATTGATTTTGTTTAAATGAAACTATTGAACCTTTATCTGAATTTGTTACATCTGAAGAAGGTAACTTGTTTTGTAATGATTTCAATTGATAAGTTTTACTTTGAACACCTTTTATACTTTTAGTTGACTTCATACGTAATAAATAACATTCATCTCTTATTTGGGCTAATTTTTCAAGATTATCTAAGCCAAGTTGATATTCTTTTTCTAATAGTCTTATATCTTCACTCTGAAATGAATATAAACAATTATAAATAAAATAGAATATATATCATAATTTGTAAAACAAAGCTATCTACTATTACCCATGATATTCCTGATTGTGGTCGACTGGATCATGCAACAAACAGTGAGGAACGAGAGTGAAGGATATGCTGCACCGCGGAAAAGAACCTAGAAGATTTGGATTTCAACAGTAATGACTTGTGTCTGATGTCGCACAAACTCGAAGATCTATAGGCAAACTAGTCACCATCAATGGGAGGAACTTAAAGGAAGTAGCCTCCATCACCTATCTAGGAAGCACTGTCTCAATTACAGGCGGCATAGACGAGGATGTCAAAACCAACCAGGATCGGAAATACAACAAGACAGGCGTTCATTAACTTCAAACCAGTGTGGAGATTTTCTGCACTCAACAGAAAGTATAAGATCCGAATTTTCAACACCAATCCATTCAAGTCAGTGCTTCTATGTGATGGTTGAGAGACTTGGCGTGTTATGAAAAGCATTTCCAACAAACTACAGATATTCATCAACAACTGCCTATGCAGGCTCGTCACTGAAGATCAGATGGATGGTCAGAAAGAATAAGCAGATGGATTGGGTATACACTGAGAAAGCCGACTGGGGATATCAGGCCCTAGGCCAGGTTCTCGAGTGGAACGTCGATGGAAAGCGACGAGTCAGGCATCCTAGATGAGGGTGACATGGAGGAGATGGTAAGAGAAGGAAATGAGAGCTTGTTGGCAGTCGTGGAGCCAGGTTCAAAAGATTGCAGAGAAGAGAGTTTAATAAAGACGTGCTACTGAAGCGGTTTGTTCCATTAGAAACCCAAGGGACAAATAATAACAATAATCTATCAAAATTTATTACCAGTTGATAAGTGAACTAAAAGGAACTAGGAAAGTATCAGCTAGAGAACTATTGGAAGCTAAACATCACTGGATAGCATAATATGAAACATCTGATCAGTGCTCACCCACGACCTCTAGGTTCTTTGGTGATTAGATCATCATTCAGTCACTGGGTCATGGATGTACACTGCTAAGGGGTCCTATACTAGAACGAAACATTTCAATAATGCAATTCTAGGATATATAACTGGTATTGTTTTTATTAGTTACAGTCTTTTTCACCTACCTGACTAGGCAGCATCGTTTCAACTACAGGCGGCGGCACAGATAAGGATGTCAAAACCAGCCAAGATTGGAAAAGCAAGAGAGGCCTTCACTAATCCCAAATCAGTGTGGAGATGTTCTGCATTCAGCACAAACAATAAGATCCGGATTTTCAACACCAACGTCAAGACAGTGCTTCCATGTGATGCTTGAGAGACTTAGCCTTTTACGAAAAGCATTTTCAACAAACTACACACATTCATCAACACCCGCCTACTCTTGTTTCTGAAGACCAGATGGCCAGAATAATAAGAATAAGCAAAAAAGAACTCTGGCTGGCTGGTAACGAACCAACAAAGAAAGAAATCATCTCTCAACAAAAATGTAGAAGAAAGTGGGGGTGGATTGGGCATACACTGAGAAAGCTGACTTGGGATATGACACGACCGGCCAGGTCATCTAGTGGAATGCAAAGGGGAAACGACGAGTTGGGCGTCCTAGCTGAGGGTGACATAGAGGAGATCATGTGAGGAAGAAATGAAAGCTTGTGGACAGTGGCAGAGTGATGTTGAAAAGACTGTGGAGAAGAGAGTGGAATGGAGGCGTGCTACTGAAGCCCTATTTTCCACTAGGAACCCAAAGGAAAAAATAATAACTCGTATTGTACGCGTAAACATTGTGGAGAATATTTATAATTCAGTATGTGAATGATCACAGTGAGTTGATCTCTGTTGTCAAGCATTTAATTGACAACCCTTTCAGCGTTAGCCAAGGTTTCAAATGGAACTCGACAACTACTGACCCACTGAATTGATTAAACGTTTCTTAGCTAAACCGCAAGCTTATAAAATCATACAACATAGTAAATATGAATGTATAAAACATTCAGCTCTACATCAATATTGAGATAACTATACATACTACTAAACCAAATATTGTCGGTTGATATAAATGTAAACCTTTCACAGTTCATTTTGTATATTTTACATTAAGCGCATTATTAAAGATTATGTTCGTGTTACTAATAGATTCACTATCAGTCAGGATGTCAGTGACGGATAACTAATGCTGTTTACTTGATTGACTAGTGTCTTTTCAAGAGCTGGCGAGGAATCATACTCCACTCCTATCCATCCCAGGGAAAATATGAAGCCGCATCATCCTGGAGAGGCTGAAAAATGCGTTGAATTCAAAATCATAAACGGAACAGTCTGGCTGAATTCAGCATCAGATTGCAACTCTATGCTACCCATCATCATAGAACACAGCATAGAATGCCAGTCAACTCAACTCAATCTCAAATTCATCGACTTTGAAAAGGCCTTAGATAGCGCCGAGAAGTCATTTGGCAGCCGCTTGCTTTAACACTACGCTTTTAGTGATACAAACCCTTATCAACCTCATTCATCAGCAGATATATGCTGTATGAGAATGCTACCTGCCAAGTGATTCATATCACAGTGGGAAGCCCAGTGATACATTTGAAGTGAAGACAGGAGTAAGACAAGGCTGCCGCCTACCATAACCGATCATCTATCTGATTGTGGTCGACTGGACATGACTGAACCATGAAACAAACTGGGAGGAGCTGTGAGAAGAGGAGCATACACTGTTTAATCGATGAAAGACACCAGAAAAAGATTCAAATTTCGCCGACGATGATTTGTATCTAATGTCGCTCAAATCCGAAGATCTAAAGACGAAAACTAACAGGCTGACAGAAGAGGCGAGGCAGTGAAGATTGTACTTCGTTCAGGTGAATGTAAAGAAGACAGAGGTGATGAACATACCCAACCAATAACAACCACAACAAGCACTAATCACCATCAACGTAAGGAATCTACAAGAAGTTGTCTGTTTCATCTACATTCCTAGACAGAATCGTCTCAAATACAGGTGGCGGCGATGGCACAGATGAGGATGTCAAAGACACGATCAGAAAGACAGCAAGACGGGCCTTCCTTCATCAATCTGTAATCAGTGTGCATATCTACTCCGCTGCACTACACTGCACTCCACTGCAATCAGCATAAAGCGTGAACAACATCCGGATTTTTAACACTAATTAAGTCAAGAGAGTCAGTGCTTCTATGTGATGGTTCACAAACTTGGCGCATTACGAAAGCATTTCCAACAAACGGCAGACATACATCAACAGCTACCACTCACCCTCACCCGATATTGAAGATCAGATGGATGACGAGAATAGTAAGAATAAGCAAGAAGGAACTCTGGCTGACTGGCAGAGAACCAACGAATCAAGAACATATCGTCAAACAGACGTGCAGCAGAAGAGAGTGGAGATGGATTGGATTGGACGTACACTGAGAAGACAAATCAACTGTAATACAAATAAGAACATCTACAACCAAAACAACAATACCTCCACTGTGCAATAACAAAAAAGACGACACACCGTTGATAGAGAGCGTTTTACCGTCTTAACAACAGTCTGACCCTTCATGCATCGTCTCTGTTTGCGAAGTCTGCTTTGAACAAGTCTTTATATTTGCAAAACCATGTATCGAACGTTATGATTGCATCTGGATCTTAGACGTATTCAGATATGCTGCTACCGATGTTGTCACTGGCTGGAGATAAACCAAATAGAAAAACTATTTGTAAGCCATCAACCAACTGCATCATTTTAAGCTGCTACTTCATCAATTTCTCCAAGCCTGAGAAGTTCATTTCAGAATACACCCATCGCCAATTTGCTATGCCCGGTACTATGACCCAACAGTCTACGAGAAATATGGACCTAGCAGACTATGAATTATATGAACCTGACGCGCAAACGAATCGAATCTGATGCAAATCACAACGTCAACCACCATCACAACAGATAGAATAATATTTCTCACATGATAAAATTCATTTTAAACTCACGGTAAACTTTAACACTATCCTGTACAATTATCAATTGTTTAAAGCAAGCTAGTTTCAAAATCTGAAACCTTATCAATCTCAGCAAGGAACGATATAAAAATAAACATTTTATTTTAATGCCTGATGCCTACGTGTTAAGCTAAGTATAAAAGGCGAGAAGACAAGGATACTCTGGACAGGGGAAAAGATCCCAAAAGATTTGTATTTCGCCGATGATTTATGTTTAATGTCGCACAAACTCAAAGATCTACAGGCGAAAACTAACGAGTTGATAGGAGAGGCAAGCCAGCGAAAACGGGAATCCAAGTGAATGTAGAAAAGACACAGGTGATGAAGATACCTAACGAATAACAAGCAACAATCACCATCAACGGGAGAAGCTTAAAGGAAGTAGTCTCTTTCACCTACCTACCAACGGACCTACCTAGGCAGGATCATTTCAACTACAGACGGCGGCATAGGCACAGACAAGGATGTCAAAACCAATCAGGATCGGACATACAGCAAGACAGGCTTTCATTCATCAATCCGAAATCAGTGCGGAGATCTTCTACACAGCACTCAGCATAAAGCATGAACAACATGCGTATTTTCAACACTAATCTCAGTCAAGTGAGTCAGTGTTTCTATGTGATGGTTGAGAGACTTGGTGCGTTACGAAAAGCATTTTCAACAAACTACAGACATTCAACAACAGCTGCCTACGCTGGCTCGTTACTGAAGCTCAGATGGATGGCCAGAAAGAATAAGCAACAAGGAAGTCTGGCTGACTGGCAACGAACCAACTAAGAACCTATCGCTCAACAAATATGCTCTGGAAGGAGGTGGAGATGGATTGGGCATACACTGAGAAGACCACTCAGGGACATCACGCTCCAGGTCAGGTTGTCGAGTGGAATCCAAAGGGGAAACAACGAGTTGGGTGTCCTAGATGAGAGTGATATGGAGAAGATGGTATGAGGAAGAAATGAGAACTTCTGGACTATCGTGGGGGCAGATTCAAAAGATGGCAGAGAACTGGAGAGTGTAATGGAGACGTGCTACTGCAGCCTAATGTTCCACTAGGAACCTAAAGGACAAATAATAATAATAATAATAATAATAATAATAATAATAATATATGCTTCATACCTCCCATTGTTGTGGCTTATTATTATCATTTGGAAATTCATTATAGTAATGAAATCGACCACCAGTTTCTTGAGCTAACTGTATAAGAAATTCATTAGCCTCAGGATCATTACAATTGAAACTGATTGTATGAATAGGTAGACGATGATTTAACTGCATACTGAGTAATAATGTTTGAGGCTCTTCATCTGGTCTACCATCAGTTAATAAATAAATTCCTTGTGTTAAATTATCTTCTAATGCAAACTGAAGAGCTTTCAGGTATTTGTAGATCCACCGCAATTTAATTTTTCAATCCATTTTATAGCTGACTGATAGTGAACATAAATAAATAAGAAAACAGTAATAAAACTATTAGTTATATAAGAGAATGACAAGATGGAGAGTAAACAGTGTTAGCAGAGGAATCCAGGACTCGTGTTTCATCCTAATCGGGACTCGTCAGCTGGATATGCCTACACACCCCCAGTGTAGAGTGAGGTTATTCCCGCTGGGATTCGAACCTCATGCCTCTCGCTTTTTAAATCCTAAGATATTATTCATTAGGCCACTGAGACATAATAGCTACCTCTTTTACAACGGCTATTAGTCATAACTGTTCGTTGATAAACTTGTAGTTCTCCATTGTTTTGTTAGATTGAATTGTTTAACCTCTGTTGATATATGAGCCCCTATGAGAATCCTTCGATACTGCTTGAATATTCATTCAACCGAAAAACCCTGGTTTTCGTTTTGCCTTATGATAACAGGTGATGAAATCTACAATACATGTTATTTAGCATTGGTAACTTGTTAACCACATGTATCTGTAATCCAGTAAGTAATGGTGTTCCCATCGCTTTAAATATCAGAGTGTTATCCATTAGGTTATTGAAATCGCTTCTGTAACAATGGATATCAGTTGACCAATTCAATCCGACATAAGAAGGTTAAAGGAGAACAAACAAAATATTATGTATTGATTCATTATTCTTTCAATGCAAAACTGATTATGACACCAGTCCTTATTAGTATGAAAAATCAGTTATAAAGCTATGATAAAAGTCTGTTTATTTCATACCTGATGTTCAATTATACTTTACTGGAATCGATTAAAAGGTAAACATAAAGTTTACGAAACTTTGATATGATCAAAATCTAGGTAAACAGTAAATGACCAAATGATGTGTATCTTTGTCAATTGTTAGTCTAATGTCTAGATCAATTATGCTACATAGTATTTTTATAGGTTTAGAGTTGTTTCAGATCAAAAATTGTTGAGATGAAACTGTAAATTATCAAAATAATCAACAGTTAAAACTTCAGACGTATGTTGGGAATACATTTCCATGGACTTAGCTCTCTTCGTTCACATTTATTGCTAAAATTTCATGACCTTGTTTTCAAAAGGACACATTTAAAAAGGGGAAAACCATACCTTTTAAATATTGCCATTTACATTTTTACAACTGCTACTGTGAATTTGTCAAACTGCTGGAGTAGGAAGCCTCATTTCTTATTGATTATTTTTTCCTTGGGTTCTTAGTGGAAATAGGGCTTCAACAGCACGCCTCCATTCCACTTCACTTCCGATTGGTTGACCTCACAGGTCATTGCTTCTCATTAGAACTTCCTAACATCCATCTGGAAGCAAGTCACTAATGAGCAGAACACTATAGAGTAATGTATTTTTGAGATGAATGGGGAATTGACAGAAGTTGGAAACTGTGAACCACTGGAAACCGACCACGCAGTGGCTGAATGGTTAACGCATTCGCCGTGAAACTTGAAGGTCCTGAGTTCAACCCGTAGCCGGGTCGTGGGTGCGTACTGCTGAGGAGTCCCATACTAGTTGGACGAAACAGCCGGCTGTCCAGTACTCCCAGATTTTCAATGGTTCCCCAACTAATGTCAGTCCACGATGAATACTACTTCTAGACTGTTGTATGTTTATGGTGTATATATATATATATATATATATATATATATATATATATATATATATATATATATATACATGAATACGATTGACAGCTTTAGAAGAAGGATATCGTCCTAAAAGAAAACTTTGTTCACTGAATTATCTCTTCTCTATGACTGAATGGGCATGTTTCGTATCTTAGAGTAATTATCTTCAATTTGTTTAACTTACTTTTAAATTCTGCTCTGTTGTACTCTGTAAATGATTACTCCATGCATTGATTGTTGAATTGAAAGCAATTAAATTCCAATGGTTTTTATACTTTAATTGATCATATAATAATTGTAGTAACTTTTCTTTAACAAATTCAATACAAGATAACATTGATGTACTAGTATCAATTAAAATATATACCTATTAGTTACAAAGAGAAAAAAACAAGCTTTAAACAGTTTCTGTACAAAATTGTAAAGGCTATCTTGATATCAATTCTGTGACTCTTATCAATGATATTGTTTCGCAATGGATAATGATGGTTGTCTGCCATCAGATAATCTATGTCTTCTAATTACATTATCCAAATTCATAAAAGGGACTAATTATTTCAAATTCTTGAAAATAAGGCTCCTGCCAAACACTATCAAAAGGTTAAATGAACTTGTTAGCCTCAAGTGTAAAATAGCATCTGAAAAGGTGAAGTTGGAGTTTTATAAATCTTGTATTTCAAGTCACACTTCTTCCAGACATTTCTATAAAACCTTACGTTTTCACAAAATTGCAATCAAATATCTCAAACCTCGTTCGACTCGTTAGATCTCATATTGATAGTTGCAGTGAGAAGTTAAATGGATTAGTCGAACTTCATGTTCATTCTTCATGTGTACTATCTGATATTTTTGTAGTTCTGTCATCATTGAATCGAAAGAGAAGACAAAACAGAAGCTGTCAAAATCTTGTACTAATGAGTCTCATGTTATCTCATTACCAATTAATCCAGATAAATATGTGACTAATGTATCGTCTATTCAACTTTCGACGTGTGAGAAGGAGGCGCTTTCCCTTGGATTCAGTTTTTCGGTTCCCCACACGAAAGTTTCGGATTTGGCTATTGATGCCCAATTTGAAAGTCTTTATGATCAGTTATTTCCCCTTGTTCCAACCTCCTCAGATAATCAGAGTTGGTTTAAGGCTAAGCTGGTGGATATTGCCCATCAGTTCCATAGTTCAGGCCCAAGACAGCGAAGTATCCTAACTTCACAACATTTCAAAGCCCTAAAAGGACTTCGAAATAGATCTGATATTATCATTCTCAAACCCGATAAATAGTCGAATGTGGTTGTGATGGACAAATGTGATTACAAAAACAAGATGATGTCCATCCTTAGCGATGAAAGTAAATTTATGGCTGATGTTCCATCAGACGACCTTAGAAAATTAGAATGCAAAGTAACATCTAGTCTGGTAAAACTCTTGAATAAGAATGCTATCAACAAGAAAGAATTTGCTTCCCTCAAACCAATGGGGTCTGAGCTACCTAATCTGTATGGATTGCCTAAAATTCATAAAACAGATAATCCTTTACGTCCTATACTCTCCATGTTCCGTTCACCTACACATAAAGTGGCGAAATGGTTAGCAAAAACTCTAATTCCTATTCGAAATGATTTATGTAAGTTTTCTTTAAAAGATACTTTTGAACTTGTTAATTATGTCAGTGATATTAATATCAAAGATAAGAGATTGTATTCATTTGATGTCAACTCCTTATTTACTAATGTACCCCTAATTAAAACCATTGACATTCTTTGTGACCATATATCTTCCAGTAATCCTTCTTTCCCTATCCCCTCAACGTGTTTAAGAGAGCTGTTATTATTGTGTACTGATAAAGTTCATTTCACATTTGAAGGTGAACATTTTCGACAAATAGATGGTGTGGCTATGGGAAGTCCCTTAGGACCATTGCTAGCTGATATTTACATGTCACACATTGAGGGCTTGACCGGCGATCTCATCAATAAAGTTACTCTCTATAAAAGATATGTTGATGATATAATCGTCATATGTGATAAGCATGAAGATGCAACATGTTTGTTAGAAAGACTTAACAACGTACAAAACAACATAAGCCTGACAAGTGAAGAAGAAAAAGAAAACCGTCTGCCATTCTTGGATATACTCCTAAGTCGTAGAAATGATGGTTCAATAAAACGGTCGATCTACAGGAAACCTACTTGGACAGGTCAGTATTTAAGTTTCCATAGCTTTTGTCCAACCCAATACAAGCGAGGTTTGGTAACTTGTCTATTTAAAAGGATCGAGCGTATTTGTACGGAGGACTCAATGGATGATGATATCAAAATACTACCGGAAACATTAGTGGAAAATGGATATCCATTGAAGTTCATAAACGGCTGCAAAAATCAGCAGGATTCAAACCTGATCTGTACTCTGTTTCGAAGAAATGCGTTTACATCGCGTTACCATACAGAGGAGAATCTAATAGCATAATATTAAACGAAGGTTAAGGTCTGCTGTTAGCAAAACGTACTATGCAGCTAAGCTTATCATAGTTGAGAAGACCAAACACCTGCTGCTACCTAGACCTCAACGCTGTATAAACGATTGTGTCATATCCCATTGCGTTTATAAATTTACATGTGTGTGTGGACAAACATACATAGGGAGGACGAATCGTGATATGCACTTGAGGGTAGGGGAACATGTTCCAAAGTGGCTACGAAAGCAGCTGGATTCACAAACATTGATAAGCGCAGATGGCAGACAACCATCATCATCCATTGCAAAACATATCATTGATAAGAGTCACAGAATTGATATCTGGACAGCCTTTACAATTTTGTATTTAAACAGTTTGATTAAGAAGTCCAGTTCAATGTTAACACTCTCTTGTTTAGCTAAATAAAATAAAACTGTTATTTCAGTGAAGGTAAACGACAAGTAACCGTGTTAAACTTAGGTTTCATGCTTGTTGTTTGCCCTCACCAGCTAGGCATTAGTGCAACTGATATACTGCCTAGGATTCGAATCCATGATACTCAGCTTTGCAGTCAGCGATAATACTCCTGAGCTTCTGTATGACTGAATTGGATAGATTAATCGTCAGTAACCTCGCCTGGTTAACTACTTCACTAGTTACTAGCCGGTCCTAAGCCCGGGTAAAGAGGGAAGGTTGGGCATAGGGCTAGCAACCCTACCCCGTAAAACAAATCTAACCACTAAAGAAACTTCAAAGCACAAACAAAATATAAAAAATGAAAACAAACTTATTCCCGCTGGAATCGGAGAGGCGAAATGACGCCAGTTGGTGAAAGCCTGCCCCCGGAAGCCATTGGCCGATGTGTCTTCTGTCGATGAAAGCGAAAGTAAACGTGGGGACATGGAATGTCCGCACCAGGTTTGAACCCAGTAAGGCAGCCCAGATTGCACAAGGAGCTCTAGGAACGAACCAACCAAAACCTATCACCCAACAAATATGCTGTAGGAAGTGGAGATGGATTGGGCATGCACTGAGACGGCCGACTGAGGACATCACGCGTCAGGCCTTCGAGTAGAATCCTCATGGGAAGCGAAGAGTTGGACGTCTGAGGGTGACATGGAGGAGGTCGTGCGAGGAGGAAATGAGAGCTTCTGGGCTGTCGTGGAACCAGATTCAAAAAATTTCAGAGAACAGAGTTCACTGGAGACGTGCTACTGAAACCCTATGTTCCACTAGGAACCCAAGGGACGAATAATAATAAAATAATAATAATAATCGTCAGTAGAAAGGTAACCAACTTTATATTGTTTAGTACTAAGTACTGATCGAAATCTGATGATCATTTTGCAATGTACAATTGAATCACGTATATGTAAAACACAAAGTTTGAATTGATCCATTAGCGAAATTCTCGACCGAGAAGTAATTTGGAAACTAATTCAACACTACGCTTTTAGTAATACAAACCCTTATCGAACTCATTTAACAGCAGATATATCTTATATGAAGATGCTACATGCCAAGTGATTCATACCTCAATGGAAAGTTCAGGGATGCCTTTAAAGGGAAGTAAGACAATGTGCTTGCCGCCTACTATCACCGATGATGTTCCCGATCGTGGTAGACTGGACTGGACAGGATCATGAAACAAATTGTGAGGAGCTGTGAGAATAGGGACATACGCTGTTTGACCGATGAAAAGACCCTAGAAGAAGATTCCGATTCCACCAATGATGAGTTATGTCTAGTGCTTTTGTCACACAAACTCGAAGATGTAAAAGACGAAAGACAACTAATTGACAGAAGAGGTGAGGTGGGTCAGTGAAACAAGACAGGACTGTGTTCAGGTGAAGGTAGAGAAGACAGAGGTGGTGAAGATACCCAACCAACAATAACAATAACAACCACGGCAACCAGCAATCACCATGAAGGGGATAAATCTACGAGTTGTCTCTCCCACCTGCCTGCCTACCTACCTACCTACCTAGACAGCCTTGTTTGAACTACAGGTGGTGGCGGTGGCACAGATGAGGATGTGAAAGGCAGCCAGGATCGGAAACACAGCAAGATAAGCTTTCATTCATCAATGTGAAAGCAGTGTGGAGATCTACTGCACTGCACTGCACTGCAGTCAGCAAAAAGCGTGAACAACATCCGTATTTTGAAGACTAATCTCAGTCAAGTGAGTCCGTGTTTCTATGTGATGTCTGGGAGACTTGGCGCGTTACGAAATGCATTCTCAATAAACTACAGACATGCATCATCATCAACAGCTGCCGCCTCCGCTCTCTGGTTAATGAAGGTGTACATCAGATGCGTGGCCAGAAGGAATAAGCAACAAGGAACTCTGCGAACGAACCAAACGACTACTTATCGTCCAGTAAATATGCAATAGAAGGAAGTGGAGATGGATTGTATTGGATTGAACCATCTAGGGACATCAAGCACCAGGCCAGGCCCTTGGTGTGGAACTCAAATGCGAAACGACGCGTTGGGCGTTGGAGGGTGACATGGAAAAGAAATGAAAGCTTTTGGGTAGTCGTGAAGCCAGGTCGACAGGACTGTAGGAAAAGAGTGAAATGGTGATATGCTACTTAAGCCTTTTGTTTCATCAGGAACCCAAAGGCCAAATAATAACAATAATAATGATAACTTGTGCAAAGTGACAATCACTATTTGAATAAAGCAGAAACAGAACACTTTCAGAAGATGGTAAGATCATCTTGTTTCACAACCTTTCATCAACTGCAAATAACCTACAACTGAAATGAAATATTAGTGATTATAATAATGACTTTAGTAATGAAAAAAAAAGGAATATGATGAAGTATGCTTCATCGTAGTAACTGTGACTCATGTTTGCATATGCATTCATATACTTTCTTGTTTTTATTCCATCATCTCTTCATTAAGAAAATGAAGAATAGTTCAACAGAGAAAATCTTTTTCAAAGATATCCTTTTAACAATGCTATATATATATATATATATATATATATATATATATATATATATATATATATATATATATATATATATGTATATATATATATATATATATATATATATATATATATATACTTTATTGAATTGAAACACTCAACACCTCGAGATTCATCCTTGAAAGTGATTTACAAAGTTTAATTGAACTATTGCAAACGTCGACATTTCCACAATTTATCCATTGCTGAAGCATTAGTTAAGCATGAACATAATTCTAAGCTTTGCATTCGAAAAGGTTTTGCGAAACCACCTCTCTCTACCTCAGCCTTCACGATTCACTTTTCGTTACCTTTATCAATTTCATTTCCCTTCACTTTGGTTTGGTGTACTTCTCTTTTATTATTATTATTATTATTATTATTATTATTATTATCACCAATTTTCACTTCATTGACAACAGTCGACTCATATTTCACCACTGAATATCAATTCATTCCTTATTCATTAACCCACATTGCATACTTCACTGAATTTATCATCGTTCTACTATTCTTTGACAGCAAGTGTCTCTTATCTCACTACTTGCTATCGATTTGTCCCTCCTTATTCACAGTGACTCATTTCCTATTTCTTCCACTTGGATGCATTCCACCTCCAACACCTAATGCATATTGACTAAGCGGCTTTTTAGTACAATTATCTGTCATCATTTGGAGCTACGGCTGGCCAATCCTCCCAGATATTCAATGGTTCTCTAACTCATGTCAGTTCGTGATGAATACTACTACATTAAGAATAAAATAATACCACAAACCTTTATCAATCTCATTTAACAACTATATGAAGACATCACATGCCAAGTGATTAACAATGCAAAGCTCAGTGATGCTTTTGAAGTGAAGACAGGAGTGAAACAAGGCTGTCTACTATTACCCATGATATTCCTGATTGTGGTCGACTGGATCATGCAACAAACTGTAAGGAGTGAGAAGAGGGGATACACTGGCTGGACTGCGCAAAAGAACCTACAACATTTAGATTTCGCTAGTGTTGACTTATGTCTAATGTGTCACAAACTTGAAGATCTGCAGGCAAAAACTAACAAGTTGACAGAAAAGGCGAGGAAGGGCAGCGAAGACGGAACTTCAAGTGAATATAGAGAAGACAGAGGTGATGATGATACTCAACCAACAACAAGAACAAACTCCAATCACTATCAACAGAAGAAACTTAAAGGAAGTAACCTCCTTCACCTATCTAGGCAGCACTGTTTCAACTACAGGCGGCACAGACGAGGATGTCAAAGTCAGAAACTTTGCATTCGAAAAAGTTTTGTGAAATCATCTCTCTTTACCTTCGTCTTAACAATTCACTTCTGGTTACCTTTGTCAATTTCATTTCCCTTCACTCTGGTTTGATGTACTTCTCTTCTATTATTATCATTATCATTATTATCACCAATTTTCACTTCATTGACAACAGTCGACTCATATTTCACCACTGAATATCAATTCATTCCTTATTCATTAACCCACATTGCATACTTCAGTGAATTTATCATCGTTCTACTATTCTTTGACAGCAAGTGTCTCTTATCTCACTATTTGTTATCAATTTGGTCCCTTCTTATTCACAGTGACCCATTTTCTGTTTCTTCCACTTGGACTAATTCCATCACTAACACCAAATGTATGTTGACTGAGGAACTCGTTTTAGTGAAATTATCTGCCACTTTGCTGAGTATAAATACAACTGTGCAGATTGATAATGAAGTCGTTGAAAAGAAATGCTTCTCGTTCACTGATACATGCTTTGTTCTTGTTAAGGTGAAAATTCTTAGTAGATGAAAAATCGCATGATTGAGTGTTCACTTGATAGATAGATGTAAAGAAGGTGAAGAATTAGACAAGGGTTGCATGGAATATAACAGTAGTAACCAATTGTGATGAAATCGAAAAAAGTGTGAAAGTGTTAAGATCATAGTAAGATAAAAGATTGAATATACTTCTTCTGCGCACAGTGATCATGCTTCCATTGTTGAACTGCCAGTGCTTCTACTGTACACAACTGTTGAAAGTGTACTTCTTTTTGAGTTATTCTCTTTCATTCTGTAAACAACACTGAAGGAGGACTGTGATGATGTTCAGAGTTGATCGACTATTCAAGAACTGAAGTATTAATTGACTTGTATTCTACCATTGACAACCATTAATAATTCCACACTGACTGTTAATTCTGGAGCCTAGCATCTTTCCAGTTTTTTTCATATAATTACGTAACCTACCATTTCTTAATCAATCCCTCCTAAGATTTGTGATTGCTAATCATTACTACCATAGATATCTCATTTCTTTTGGAGGTTGTTTGCAGATGATATTTTTGTTCATTCTCTATTCAAACTTAGCAAAGCAACTAAATGCATGACATAGTAGGTCGACTCTATTGAGGTTATTGGCTAGGTATCCAGTTCAAACATTAAGTTCGGTGTACAAATCAACTAATCATTAGATGTTATTTTGATGCAAGTAATCGACGCGGTTTCTAATCACACAGCTGAAATCAGTTCCTTCAAGGTTGATGCATTCCGAAAAGTACACAGCCTTGGTTGATCAGGCCTTTCTACCGATTGCCTCCAGCCAACTAACATCCATCAGAATATATCGCGATGCTAAATTGTAAAATATTCGACAGAATTTGACCAGCACTTATCACTAGACAATATGAAGTTGATTACCCTCCAGTGACCAGTGGAAGAGTTAACACTAAATTATTCCGACATGACATATAGTGAAAGGAGTTTGTAAGGAAACCATACTTATCGACGTCGATTATGAATCATACTTAGAATTGGAAAATATCTCACTAACTATTATATTGAAACTGGGTGATGATTGAAGGTGAAATGGAGATTTGAACCGCGGCCGGATTCAAACCAGCAGCTATCGGGTTACTGACGCGGTCTTTTACCAACTAAGCTACAAGGTCCGACTACTGACCGGAGTTTTATTTCAATTCAATCATCAAAGGTGACTGGAAGAATACCGGACTGCCAACCTGATGGTTATTGGTTCAAATTTTCATTTCACCTTCTTCATAATCTAGTAACAATAGTACATTTCTGTTATATCAGATAATTAATATGATGTTCCCCCTCTCTCTCATTCACTTACATTTGGATTGGGATGAGAAGTCCTGACTATGCAATTAGTATGAGTACAATCGAACGATAGTAACGCTTCACGAATTCATAAAGTAGTTAGGCAAAACCAATGGTGATTGAAGTCAAATAAAAATCTGCTAAGCGTTCGGACCTCGTAGCTTATTCGGCAGAGCATTGAGCCAGAAAGATGGTTGTCACTGATTCAAATCGGGGCCACTATCCGAATTTCCATTTCACCTTCAATCACCAACCAGTATAAAAATGTATATAATAGTTTTCATATAATCATTAAAAACACAGAAATTCACTTACATCATCTTCAGTAATTGTTCCAAATAGTTCTCTTGAACCCTTTCTTAACATATTTAACCGTTGTTGTATAGCATTTAGTCTAGACTGCATTCGTTGATAGTATAAACGATACAATTCCGGTGTAACTTGTACATGTACTATTGTATTATCTTTCCAAAGAACATGTACAAAATTACTGCAATATTGAGCATTGATTAGCTTCGGTTGAACAATCTTCAACAATAAACATAATGTATAAAAACTAAACTAGGAGTTATTTTCATTTCATATGTGTAGATCATTTAAAATACTTTCATCACTAAAATGTGATCAGTGATGATTACTACTAGTATGAAAACTATTTCAAGTTGAGGATTTATGGGAAACGTTAAAGCTGTGGACACCATTAGACTGCATAGTAGTCCTCATTCAAGACCTCGAAACGAGCACATTACTATTCAGCCGTGTGCTAGGACGCAACGGCTGTTCAGTCCTCTCAAGTTGCCAATGATTAGACCATTGATGTCAGTTAGTCTATGATGAATATATTATCACAGAAAAAAAATACATTTTAGTCAAAAAAGGAGTAAAACTAGGCTGTCTGCTATCACCCATGATATTCCTGATTGTAGTAGACTGGATCATGCAACAAACAGTGAGGAGCCAGAAGAGGAGGAAACGCTTGACCGGGAAAAATCCTAAAATATTTGGATTTCGTGAGTTATGACTTGTGTCTAATGTTGCACAAACTGGAAGATCTACAGGCAAAAACTAACAAGTTGACAGAAGAGGCCGGGCACTGAAGACGGAACTTCAAGTGAATATTGAGAAGACAGAGGTGATGATGATGCCCAACTAACAACAACAAACTCTAGTCACCATCAATGGGAGGAACTTAAAGGAAGTAGCCTCCTTCACCTATCTAGGAAGCACTGTCTCAATTACAGGCGGCACAGACAAGGATGTCAAAACCAACCAGGATCGGAAAAGCAAGACAGGCGTTCATTAACCTGAAACCAGTGTGGAGATCCACGTCACTTCACTCAGCATGTGGAACAAGATCCGAATTTTCAACACCAACCCAGTCAAGTCAGTGCTTCTATGTGATGGTTGAGAGACTTGGTGAGTTACGAAAAGCATTTCCAACAAAACAACAGATATTCATCAACAACTGCCTACGCCGGCTCCATACTGAACATCAGATGGATGGTCAGAAACAATAAGCAACAAGGAAATCTGGGAACGAACTAACGAAGCAAGAACCTATTGTTCATCAAATATGCAGGAGACGAAAGTGGAGATGGATTGAGCATGCACTGAGAAAGAAGACCATTCGGGGACATCACGCCCCAGGCACTCGAGTGGAGCCCAGATGAGAAACGGCGAGTTTGGCAAGGGTGTCCGAGGTTGACATACAGGAGATCATGTGAGGAAGAAATAAAAAATTGTGGGCAGTCGTGGAGGCAGGTTGAAAAGATTGCTGAGAATACAGTGCAATGGAAGCGTGCTACTGAAGCCTTATTTTGACTAGGAACCCAAGGGACAAATAATAATCATAACAAACGATGTTAGAACAACTACTAGACTAAATGATTCAATTCAATATAGCAATCCATTGAATGTTCAATAGTTAGAAGATAAAGCTTACAACTTAGTTCCTTCATCTTTGATTATTGATTATGCAAAATAACAAATATCTTCATTTGTCTCATAAGTGTTTAAGGCATTGCTCGTAATCAACTAACTATTATACCGAAGATATCTTCTTCGTTTCAGTAGATAAACGTAAGATAACGCTTACAATAATTCAATAGTTTTCCAGCTGATCTATTTCCCAATGAGTTATTAAATTAACAGATAGAAATGTAAAACAATACATGTCACTTCAGATAAAAGTGTATCGGATCAAGTTGTCACAATATGTAACGGAAATAAATGACATTATTGATAGGATCCAGTTTGACCCAAGTTTCGTTCTATTTTATACTTGTCAGCTGGATGTCCGTCTCTCCAAGTAACCGATGTTGTTCCCACCAAGATTCGAAATAGGGTAACGTTCTGGCATTTGAAGCGGCTGGTCTCGAGTTCGAGTCCTAACGGGAACACTGAGGTGCAGTTACACCCAGCCATTATCAAAACACAAATAATATCGAGGCATCAGTGCAGGAGCCCATCGGCCAATCGAGAATGATCAACTAGATCCACTCAAAGACGTGACGATAGTCGCTACAATCGTCCCTTTCGGACCAGTCAGCTAGATGTAGCTACTTCCCAGTGATTGATGTTGTTCCCATCGGGGTTCGGACTCGGGAGTGATGACCTCAAATGAGAGAGCGTTATCCACTTTACGACTGAGCGACGAAAGCCACTTCTTGTGCGACGTGTATAGGTTTTAGTATGCTTGTTTTTATATCTTAATGTCGTTGATTGGACCGAATTGATCGGTCTCTATTGGCATATGGGATCCTATGCGGATGCCTTAATATTACCGGTGCTTTAATGGTATTAATGACGGATAGTGGCTAGCAGTGGAATCCAGGATGCGCAGCTCGTCTTATCTGGGACTCGTCAGCTGGATGTACCTTCATCCCGGTGAATGAGCACCGGTAATATTGAGGCATCCACACGGGATCCCATATACCAATAGAAGCTGATCAATTCGGTTCAATCAACGACAATTATGCTAAAACCTATTGAACTAGGTTTAGCTAGGTTTCTATATTCTGTTAACCTGACTGATTAATGTACTTGACCCCACAGTCACTGTTAAGTGTTTAGTAAATTATCTAATCTAATCTTATTTGATTAGATCAATATAATACTTACAGTTGAAACATTTGTTGCCGAAATATATCAATAGGTTTGAATGAATCCTATATGTCCCCTGACTAGTAGATACCACTGTAAAGGCCTTGAATTCCTCTTCAGTAGTGATTCAATCATTACTTACACCACTACCTTCCTTCTTCATTACGTGTTTAAATATTTCTGAATAAATTTAGGAGGATAGTTATCACCAAAATAAAACTTCTCTAATCTGCTTTTGACTGATTGGTTAAACATTTGGATTGACTAATTAAACATTTAACTATTATTATCATTATTAGTCCCTTGGGTTCCTAGTGGAACATAGCGCTTCAGTAGCACGTCTTCAGTGACCTCTGTTCTCTGAAATCTTTTGAACCTGCCTCCACGACTGCCAACAAGCTCTCATTTCCTCCTCGCACCATCTCCTCACCTAGGATGCCCAACTCATCATTTCACATCTGGGTTCCACTCGAGCGCCTGGACTGGTGAGTGATGTGCCAGTCGGCCTTCTCAGTGTATACCCAATCCATCTAAACTTTCATCTCCTACATATTTGTTGGGTGATAGGTTCTTGGTTGGTTCGTTCTCAGAGTTCCTTGTTGCTTATTCTTATTATTCTGGCCATCTCATCATCAGTAGCGAGCCAGCGTAGGCAGTTGTTGATGAATCTCTGTTGTTTTGTTGGAAATGCTTTTCGTAACGCGCCAAGTCCCTGAACCCTACAGAAGCACTGACTTGACGTTGGTGTTGAAAATCCAGATCTTGTTCCACATGCTGAGTGCAGTGACGTGGATCTCCACACTGGTTTCAGGCTAATGAACGCCTATCTTGTTGTATTTCCGATCCTAATTGGTTTTGACATCTTCGTCTGTGTCGCATGTAATTGAGACAATGCTTCCTAGATAGATGAAGGAGGCTACTTCCTTTAAGTTTCTCCTGTTGATGGTGATTGGAGTTTGTTCTTGTTGTTGGAGTTGTTGGTGCGGTATCTTCATCACCTCTGTCTTCTCTACATTCACTTGAAGTTCCGTCTTCAGTGCCCGGCCTCTTCTGTCAACTTGTTAGTTTTTGCCTGTAGATCTTCAAGTTTATGTGACATCAGGCACAAGTCATCGGCGAAATCCAAGTCTTCCAGGTTGTTTTCCTCAGTCAAGCGTATCCCCCTCTTCTCGCTCCTCACTGTTTGCTGCATGATCCACTCGACTACAATCAGGAATATCATGGGTGATAGTAGGTGGAGCCTTGTTTTACTCCTGTCTTCACTTCAAAAACATTTAACTAAATCCACTTTAATTCAAGTTTGATGAGATAACTTAAAGTTTCAATGTTCATTAGAATGTGGTAGGTTACAGAAGATATATATCTAACCCACTGTTTTGTATTCTTTCTCGTTTGTCATCTCTAACATAGATAATTCTCTACATTTGTCATCCAACAGTCTCTAACTAATGATCTGAGTTATGTAGGCGACTGTAAACTATGTAGTTGGGACCCTCGAGACCATAATAGTCAGGAGTGTTGAGAACTTTTGGTGGCATAGCTGAAAATTGGTCACAATGATGTAGATCTATTCACTCTTCAATATTTTTCAAAAGTTGAATGTTTTTCTTGCTTCTTGTTTCTTGTATGTTACTGTTGAATGTAGTAAATGGGACCGATCCACGTGTTTCCAAGACTCTAACTTGAATGTTATCTACTATGGAGTTTATGTGCACAGAGAAGCTATAAATGTATTTTTCAATTTTAATATAGCGAACTGCTTCAACACTAGGGAATACCACAAACGTTTATCAACCTCATTCAACAACTATATGAAGACGCCATAAGCAAAGTAATTCACAATGGGAAGCTCAGTGATGCTTTTGAAGTAAGGACAAGAGTAAAACAAGGCTCCACCTACTATCACCCATGATATTCCTGATTGTAGTCGAGTGGATCATGCAGCAAACAGTGAGGAGCGAGAAGAGGGGGATACGCTTGACTGAGGAAAACAACCTGGAAGACTTGGATTTCGCCGATGACTTGTGCCTGATGTCACATAAACTTGAAGATCTACAGGCAAAAACTAACAAGTTGACAGAAGAGGCCGGGCACTGAAGACGGAACTTCAAGTGAATGTAGAGAAGACAGAGGTGATGAAGATACCGCACCAACAACTCCAACAACAAGAACAAACTCCAATCACCATCAACAGGAGAAACTTAAAGGAAGTAGCCTCCTTCATCTATCTAGGAAGCATTGTCTCAATTACATGCGACACAGACGAAGATGTCAAAACCAATTAGGATCGGAAATACAACAAGATAGGCGTTCATTAGCCTGAAACCAGTGTGGAGATCCACGTCACTGCACTCAGCATGTGGAACAAGATCTGGATTTTCAACACCAACGTCAAGTCAGTGCTTCTGTAGGGTTCAGGGACTTGGCGCGTTACGAAAAGCATTTCCAACAAAACAACAGAGATTCATCAACAACTGCCTACGCTGGCTCGCTACTGATGATGAGATGGCCAGAATAATAAGAATAAGCAACAAGGAACTCTGAGAACGAACCAACCAAGAACCTATCACCCAACAAATATGTAGGAGATGAAAGTTTAGATGGATTGGGTATACACTGAGAAGGCCGACTGGCACATCACTCACCAGTCCAGGCGCTCGAGTGGAACCCAGATGTGAAATGATGAGTTGGGCATCCTAGGTGAGGGTGACATGGAGGAGATGGTGCGAGGAGGGACAAATAATAATAAACGTATCATCTACATATCACTAACATAATTTCATCCATTTCAATGAATTATACGTTTCTAGCTGTTTTATATCGAATCGACTAATCTAATCCAATCTAATGGATTTGAAGATTCATAGAGATAGATGAGTGTTTTAAATTAGACATTATCATGTACTGACATCAATAGAAGAAGTAACAAAAAAAAATTGGAAGCATTGAACAGGGTGTTTTGTTCAACTAGACGATTTAAACAAATGGGTCAAGTTATATGGTTACAATAAGAAATTACCTTTAAAAGAATAAATGATTTATTGAAATAAATAAATAAATAAAATGTAAACCTACAGCATGAGATGACCATATTTGTGAAGAAGTTTTTAAATTTGGCTCAGATTGATGATCTATCATAGAATTATCATAAATTTTCTCATATACTTTATGTATATCATTATTTGATGTTGAAGAAGAAGTGAATACATTTTTGTTGTCAAGTACATTATCTAATGGAGGTATTAAAACATTTACAACTCCATCACAGTGTTTAAATGAAACACTAGCCAATAAATCATAGAAGTCTAAATGTTGAGCTTTTAAACCATGAATACTTAACCATTCCTTTGATGACATATCCTCTTCTCGTTTCCAGTCAAGTTTACAAGTATTTGTTAATGGCGCTGGTTGACAGCTTTTCAAACTTGAATCTATAGAAAAACAATAGGAAATTATATATTATTATTATTATTATTATTATTATTATTATTATTATTATTCTATTGGGTTCCTAGTGGAACCCAAGGGCTTTAGTAGCACGCCTCGATTGCACTCTCTTGTCTGCAGTCTTCTGAACCTGGCTCCACGACTGCCCACAAGCTTTCATTTCTTCTTCACATAATCTCTTCCATGTCACCGTCATCTCGGACGCCCAACTCACTGTTTCCCCTTTGCATTCCACTCAACAATCTGACCTGCCACCTGATGTCCACAGTCGGCCTTCTTAATGTATGCCCAACACAATACATCTCCACTTTCCTCTCCTGCATGTGTGTTGTGTGATCGCTTCTTGATTGGTTGGTTCGTTGTCAGTTAGCCAGACTTCCTCCTTCCTTATTCTTATTATTCTCACCATCCATCTGATCTGATCTTCACGATCGAGTGAGTGTATGTGGCAGCTATTCATGAATGTCTATAGTTTTGTTGGAGACGCTTTTCGTGATGCGCCTAGTCTGTGAACCATCACACAGAAGCACTGACTTGACTGGATTGGTGTTGAAAATCGGGATGTTGTTCACGTTTTATGCCGTGTGCAGTGCAGTAGATCTCCACAATGGTTTCAGATTAGTGAAAGACTGTCTTGCTGTCTTTCCTATCCTGGTTGGTTTTGACATCTTCGTCTGTGCCACCACCACCTGTAGTTGAAACAACGCTGCCAACGGTATATAGGTGAGAGAGAGTACTTCCTTTAGGTCTCTCCCGTTGTTGGTGATTGGTGCTTGTTGTTGACACTGTTGTTGGTTGGGTATCTTCATCACCTGTATCTTCTCTATATTCACTTGGTGTCCCGTCTTCGCTGCCTTGCCTCTTCTGTCAACTTGTTAGTTTTCGCCTGTAGATCATCGAGTTTATGCGACATTTAACATAAATCATTGGCGAAATCCAAATCTTCTAGGGTCTTCTCATCGATCTAGCATATATATGCATATATATCAATTCCTTTGAGGTTACGGGTGAGCTTGCTGACTAGTGTCATGACACCTATTAAGGTAGAGTAGAGCTTCCTGTTGAATGCCTACAAACAATCGATATTAGCTAAAGTCCACTACAAAAGTGAGTTTTCTAGCTCAGTAAACACACTGGAAAACTTCAGATAATTAACCATGGATACCTTTAAAACATTGTTCGCATGAGCTGCATCATTAAATACACTATGTGTTTACTTTAAACATGTGACTTTCGCAGTGACTGAAGATACATCTTGCTGACAAGTGTCAACCAGCCTGAAACCTAGGTCCACGACTTCATGACTCCCACCAGCCAACATCCATCAAGGTGATTGAGTTCTGTTCGCACTCATGATAAGATATGAAATCAGTTTTTCTGTAGTGATCAATCAAAGCACATTATCTAGTCCTACAAGAGGCCAGTCGAGGCCTGAATAGTTGACTACAACAATGAACATGGAAGTTTTCAGCAGTGCGCTCCCAGTACCTTCACGTTAGGCGCCCAGCACATTGCCACTGAGCTTTTTGGGTTGAAATTCAATTATCGACATTTTTTTCTGCTTCTGTCAGTTTGAAATGTACCGCGACCTTTATCCAATGCTCCCGCTGAGTATTTGTTTGACTATACTGGTCACGATTTCTCATTAGCACCCAAGGGAAATTTCATGTCATGTAAAATTCGCATCAAATGAGATTACTGAAATACCTATGCAGAACAGAAAATCACTTGCATACGCTGTTTGTCTTATTTAAAAGATTACGTATTGTTATTCAGGTTCATTTTTATCTCTCTGACTGATCTTTTCAGTCACGTTTTAACAACAGCGATTAAAATGATCCGTGGATGCATCTGATCCACTAATTCAGAATTATATAAATCAGACCTGACCGATAGCTGCTGCTACCTTGACGTGGTGGTCGGGCTTGCATATCACAATGACCCAACACTTTTTCCCTTGTGGTCCCACCATACCAGAAAGGTCTGTTGGAGAGTGGTTAGACGAAAAGCAGTTACCGTTGTGGTGTAAACTGTTACACTATGATGGGGATCTGAGGGCGAAATCGTACTGCTGCTAGCTGGATGGGGTGTGACAACAGTAAGGTGTTTCTTTTGGATGACCAACAGTGCCATGCTGATGCTGCCTTCTCAGTGGAAGTGGGAGTTGGGGTTAGAAAAGGTCGGTCCCAAAAATAACACTCCACCATGCCCCATGGTCTGCCGGGCCGGTGGTGTTGGTTCATCTGTCGTTTCCTTTCGACCATCCGGCCCCAAAAATACAAAAGTTCAAAATAATCATACCCAAAGGACTACATGTGACAGGCCTCAAGCAGATGTCCGATGGGCTCTGCGGTCACACAAATCTCTTCCAAAGTACCTTAAGAAGAAATAGCCTTCCAAGGTGTGGACAGCCGGGAAGTGTCAACCACCCTCACAACTCTGTCAGAACTCAAGTTTCCTCAGACTGCTACCCACCTCCTCCATATAAATCAGAATTTTGTACGATACTAACGTGTTTCCATGATACATGAGCAATGTTATGAAGGTAAATCTCGCTGAACTTCTTTCCACCACCTTTAACAGCAACGTTTCACAGTGGAATAGAGCAAACTGTAACGCATTACATCCAGTCTTTAATGGTCAAGTGAATATCATGACGGGCGCTAAAAAATGGTATAAACCAGTGCAAGCTAATCGAGTCTTTTATTTCATCAAGGAATATCTGAATTCCCAGGCAATTAAGGTGGTCAATACACTCAACTACTTCACTTCTTAATTTCAGATGGAAAGCTAACGCAGACCAGTTATAGAGCAACAATTTGTATATAGATAGGTAATAAATACATACTAAATATTCTCATTTCATCACTACAATGTGTCTATAAGATTCTGAGTTTTCACCTAACAGGAATTTGTCTTCTGACCACTCAAACTTTATTGAAGGTCAATCCTTGTACGGTCAAACAATCAATATCGACTGTATATGTGATGTTATGGTCGGTTCTAGACCAGCACAAACAAAAAGCTGATAAGAGATTAGAAATATTAAAGTTGACCAAAGACATACACGTAAAACTGTAATAACAACGCGATAAAAAAAATTCAATATTTTATGGTTTATTTAATATAGCCAGTAACATAGTGACACAGTACAATCTACTGGATGATATTTCGACTACAACTTACTCACTCATATTCATATCAAAGTAGTCAATCATACAAATGTAAAACTTCCTCTACATAGACGGTCCAATACTTCCTCATTCATTTATTTCAATGATAGTAAACGTTTTCACATATCTGTAATATGTAGTGAGTTATTCGTGTCACATATGTGTTTGGTGTAGATTGAATGAAGAAGGATTGTGTGATCAATCTCTCCCTGTACACAGCTAACCATATTGGACTTTGTAAGTGTTACTCTATCTCACCCTACAGAATGTGATTATGGGTCAGTGCATACAGAACGACAGCCGAGTTTTATGGAAAACACTTACCTTACTAGGGTCTATCACTGAATGTTCCGCTAAATTTTTGTATTCTGCTATTCTAACTGATCCCCACTGGCTGTTATGACCCATATACATGATCTCACATTCATCATTACATGGTATTTGATAGATCAGGTTATCTAGCTTAATTGGCTCAAGCGGGTATTTTAGCCTATAAACTTCATCTCTGACGAGTTTGTTGATATAAATGCCACCCTAATCCCAACCAGCTTTGTTATAGATTGTACGTAAAATTTTCTATGTACCTTTTTTTATATGGAAACATTCCAGTGGATAGTTATTGAGAATTAGTGTCTCTGTGATGCATTTCATTTCCCTATATAGCCTTTCCGACTATTTAGTCAAACTCCTAACCCGATTACTTAAACATTTTATCAAGCCTACTTTGATAGATATAGGGTAAGCTGATGTGAAATCCAGGTATCTTTTCGAATGTGTTGGTTTCCTATACACGCTGATATCTAAGCTTCCATCTTCTCCCTCCGTCTTCATTTTCCAATTCATGAATGAATATGTGTAAAAAATCTCTGGATGTGTTCTAATTTCAGCACAATAAATGTGTCATCAAACACTTGGATTTCATATCATCTCAACCAATATCTGTTAAGGTACAGCTGGTGAAAGGGTTATAAGTCTAACTCGTAAGACAGAAAACCTCGATAAAGAACTGAAATGTATCAAGGAGATACTACTCATTAGTAACTATCCTCCAGAATTTACTGAAAAGTTTTTAAGAAATGATAAGTGAAAGAGTAATACTGTTGTTGGTGATTGCAATGTACCTTAGAGGGAATTCAAATCCTCTGTGTGGTGTTGCCATATATAAAGAAGATGCATCGGAAATTTTACGTGAAATACTTAAGAGTGCTGATTGGGATTAAGGTAGCATTTTAACGCACAAACTCCCTGAGAGAGAAATTTTGTAGGTTAAAAGGTCCAACACAGCCAGTTAGGACAGATAACCGGATCTATCATATACCCATGTATTGATGAGTATGTGGTCACGTATATGGGTCATAGCAACCGATCTGGGTCAGTCAGAATAGTAGAATACAAAAATTTAGAGTGAAACTTGGCTGTCGTTCTGTATGCACTGACCCATAATCACATTCTGTAGGGTGAGATAGAGTAACACTTACAAAGTCCAATATGGTTAGCTGTGTACAGGGAGAGATTGATCACACAATCCTTCTTCATTCAATCTACACCAAACACATATGTGACACGAATAACTCACTACATATTACAGATATGTGAAAACGTTTACTATCATTGAAATAAATGAATGAGGAAGTATTGGACCGTCTATGTAGAGGAAGTTTTACATTTGTATGATTGACTACTTTGATATGAATATGAGTGAGTAAGTTGTAGTCGAAATATCATCCAGTAGATTGTACTGTGTCACTATGTTACTGGCTATATTAAATAAACCATCTAATATGAGGTTATACTCTGCTACAGTGCCCAAATTTTTATACTATTTAAGCTAATACACTGAATAAAAGTATAACAATTATTACCTTGATTACCTTGATTAGGCATACAGTCTATATCATGAAGTATTTGTTCAATACGTTGTAAAATTGATCTAGCTTCTTCTAATTCTTGAAATATTAGAACACAATCCTCATGTTGACCCCAACCTTTAGGTGGTCCACCATATTCAATTTTATTCACTTCAATCATTTGTTGAAACTTTTCTACATCCCAACAACTTGGTGAATATAATGGAATTTGCATATTGATACAATATGCATGAAATCTATTTTCATTTAGAGAAAAAAAAGGATTTTCATTAAATGCTTTAAGGGGGAAAAATTTCCCATTTTCTTTTGAATAGAATTCATGACCAATTGAAAGGATTAGACAGATATATCGACGAAATCACTGCTGAACTTCGCATCAGTCGTGGATGCTTCAATGGTTCCCCAACTGATGTCAGTCCATGATGAATAATACTTCTAAATTAAAAATCCTTATTCATCTCAAAAATACATTACTCTATAGTGCTCATTACTGACTTGCTTCCAGATGGATGTTAGGAAGCTCTAATGAGAAGTCGTGACCTGTGGGGTCAACCAGTCTGAAGTGAAGTGGATGCTAACTGAAGACCTATGTCGTGAATTGACACAAGTTGGAATTTGTGAACTACTGGAAACCGACCACCCAGTGGCCGAATGCTTAACGCGTTCGTCGTGAAACCTGAAGGTCCTGAGTTCGACCCCTATCCGGGTCGTGGGTGTGTACTGCTGAGGAGTCCCATACTAGTTGGACGAAGCAGCCGGCTGTCCAGTGCTCCCAGATTTTCAATGGTTCCCCAACTGATGTCAGTCCATGATGAATACTACTTCTATATTGTTATTATTATTTGTTCTTTTGGGTTCCTAATGGAACATAGGGCTTCAGTAGCAAGTCTCCATTACACTCTGTTCTCTGCAGTCTTTTCAGTCTCGCTCCACGACTGCCAATAACCTTTCATTTCTCCCTCACATGATCCCTCTATGTCATCCTCACCTCAGACGCCCAACTTGTCGATTCCACTATCGGTCCCACTCGAGGGGTTGGCTCATGATATCCGCAAACCATCTTCTCAGTCTATGTACAATCCAATCCACCCCCAATTTCTTCTGCTGCATATTCTTTGGGCGATAGGTCCTTGCTTGTTTGTCAGTCAGCAAGAGTTCCTCATTGCTTATTCTTATTATTCTCGCCTTCCATCTAATCTTCAGTATCGAGTGAGTGTAGCTGGCAGCTGTTGGTGATGTATGTCTGTAGTTTGTTGGAAATACTTTTTGTAACACTCCATATCTCTCAACCATCACATAGAAGCATTGACTTGAACTTGACATTATCCTTCAATACCGGGATTTTGTTCTTTATGCTGGGTAGAGTGCAATGCAGTGAAGGAAGGCCTGTCTTCCCGATCGTGACTTTCACATCCTCGTCTGTGCCACCGCCGCCACCTGTAGTTGAGATGATGCTGCCTATGAATGTATGTGAAGGGGATAACTTCGTTTAGATTTCTCCCTTAGATGCTGATTGGTGCTTGTTGTTGTTGTTGTTGTTGTTGTTGTTGTTGGTTGAGTATCTTCATCTCATCTGTCTTCTCTACCTTCACCCGAACGAAGTTCCGTCTTCTTTCGCTGCCCTACCTCGCCTCTTCTGCCAACTTGTTAGATTTCGCCTGTAGATCTTCGAGTTTGTGCGACAAAAACACTAGACATAAATCATCATTGGTGAAATCCGAATCTTCTTCTAGGGTCTTTTCATCGGTCAAGCAGCGTATGCCCCTCTTCTCACAGCTCCTCACAGTTTTTTGCATGATCCAGTTCAGTCTATCACAGTCGGGAAGATCATCGGTGATAGTAGGTGGCAACCATCTTGTCTAACTCCTGTTTTCACTTCAAATGCATCACTGAGCTTTCCATTGTGTTGTGAATCACTTGGAATGTAGCATCCTCACATAGGATATATCTGCTGTTGAATGACTTTGATAAGGGTTTGTGTCACTAAAAGTGTAGTGTTGAAGCATCTGCCAAATAACTTCTCGGTCGACGCTATCGAAAGCCTTTCTAAAATCGATGAAGTTGAGGTAAAGAGTTGACTTCCAAAAGTGGATGGGAGGAAATGTTCAAACTGTAGAAGATCATTATGAACAATTCTTAATAATGCCATCAATCGTCTTCAACCAATGACTGTTACTGTTTATAGGACCTTAACCAAGCAGTTTATACCTCAATACATGATTCAAACGAACAGTTAAGGACCTCATGAACTAGTGCCAGGACTTGACCTGCTGTGCTCCCGTCTCCTGAACTTTCTTCCAATTCAATCCTATTTCAGGTAACAATATTGCATTTCTCAGGCCTTTAAACTCGTAGGACAACTTCGCCTGCATACACCAAGTACATTTATAACGAAGTTAAACAGAGACGGTGATAGCTGGCATTCCTGGAGGACACTACTGGCTGTCATCAGTTCAAATGACAGCTCTTCACAATCACTTAAACGGCTACGAAGGTTCGAGTAGAGAGCTTTGATTAAAGCCGAAACATTGCCCGGCACTCCTATCAGAGTCAGACACTGCCACAACATCACTCAGTCGACAAGACTGTATGCCTTCTTCAGGTCATGAAACGTGGTGAACACTGGCTATCAGTAGGCATGTTTGTGTTTCAAAACCTGTTAGAGCGAGAAGATCTCATCTTCAGAATAAGCTGTGCAGATCTACTCGCTTTTGCTAGCTTTCGGATGCAGCTTGCAAACTGCCTTTAACACTGTTTCTACAGCAGGCTGATTATCATAAAAGGCTTCATCGAGAGAAGGGTTGCTGCAATGTTCAGATAACTGCCCAGCTGTCTCTTACCTCAATACACACTTGACAGTCTCATCTCCTAATCGAGCACACACAACTTTTACTGCTACACATTTCCTGCGACCAGTTTAGTGCAAACATATACGTTACCCGTACTAACCAGTGATCGGAGTACAAATAGATGTTCCAGAAGGAGCAAAAATCTTTCACGAAACCTCTCCGTCAGTGGATTATCCGGATATGATCTGATATCGGAAGTCAGATGTGACTGTGTCGCTCTTTAAGCATGAATTTAGTGCTGGTTAGAAACAAGTGACGGTGACAATAAAATCGGAACCTTTGGTTTGCTGATGTGTGATACCATAGTTACTTGCAGGATGCCTCTTCGGTTGGCTGAACTGGCCTACTTTGTTGTTGAATTCGCCTACTGTCATGACTGAATGTTTTGCTATATGTAGCAAAGTTGACAGCTTCTCATAGAATTCATCCTTTCTACTATCCAAACTGCAGTCAATGAGCTTGTAAGCTGAAATAATAAACAGACATCGTCAAGTCTCACAACCCTTCCTCTAGTTCTTACAGACTTATTCGGTCAAACAGTACACAGATGGCTGTTGACTGTTATCCAGTCGAGGTATGTGCTTCCTGCTCTACAACTTAATGATTAACCTAAAACAGTGAGTTCATATGACCCAGCCATTCACTCTCCAGACACTCGTAAAGTAAGTTTTGAAGGTTCAACACATTGACCAGTTGAGGTCGAGTCAATGTCCACATCCATAGCTCGAGATCCTAGAGTTCTGTCAAGGCGTGCCTGTTGTCCAATTTCCTATAGGATTCTTACTTTGAAAACAGCAATGTGAAATTAATTACAGGGTTTTAGGATGCTAAGAAGTTGTAAAAGGCTCCATACTGGTGTTAAGAAGTGAAGACGGTTCATGTTTTGCAACTCCTCACACAGTAAAAGTTGTTTTCACAAGACGCCTAAAATAAAAAAAGTAATTAGCTTTGCGTGACCACAGACTCAGTGAAACATCCCATAGAGGTCTGTCACAAATCGTCTTTTTAGTATTGCTAGAGTGAGATTTAAGGTTCTTACAGCAGTGAACGGTTATCTCAACTTATAATATTTTCTGTCACATTAAAATTTGCATTCCTACGATATATTTATCAAGATTATTCAACAGTACACATATTTTAGTGTCAAGGCATGGTGAAAATGTTAGAGATAGGTAAAACGATTGACAGAAACTCACTGGCCTCACAGTGGCTTGAGCTGAATATATTTGTCAATTTACTTACTTTGGGAGTTGCATCAGTTCCAATGAACTGGCTGCTGAAGAGATCTCAGCTGGTGTACAGAAGACCCGTTTGGCGTTTACCAACTTGTATCATCTCTGGGGCCGATCGGTGAAATATCCGACTACTTATCTACACGACGAGTATGCTTTGCTGCACTCCGTTCTCTCCCGCAATACGGCGATGAGATATGGGCGTTAAAAGTAGAAGATATGAAGCGACTACAGATTGTTTATTCTCTCACACAACTTCATCTACCTTGATACCAGCATTTTTAGATGTATTTGTTTTTTGTACTACCATGAAGTGTGGCAGCTTGAACCGACACACTTGTCTGAAAGGTTAATTTTGTCTCTGTCTGTCTGCCTAATTGTTGTCCGTGTAGTATACCATACATCTAGCACTAACAGTATGTCCTGTAAAGCTGTAGCTCATTGATTTAGGCAACGGACTTTCAACAAATGGGTGACGACTTGAATACCATCCTACCTACTGATGTGTAGATAGTTAGGTAGCATCATTAAACTTCACAAAATAAGTGCGGCTCATTACCCATAGCACGGATGTGGACATGGTTCTTGGATTGGAACAATATGTCCATCAAAGTTCCAATTTCGCGTAACAAATATCAGAAATGTGCATCATATTCATCGTTCCGTGTTTAAATATATAACAAATGGAATATTAAGATGTAACAGGAAGTTTCACAGTACATTTATTTCTGAATGGGTTGAAAATCGTTATGGAATCTTCACCAGCTTTTTCTTACATGATGCACACGAATAGCACCGTACATTTCGTCAACACCTTTTATTATTATTATTTATCCCTTGGGTTCCTAGTGGAACATACGGCTTCAGTAGCACATCTCCATCCCACTCTCTTCTCTGCAATCTTGTGAACCTCACTCCACGACAGCTCACAAGCTCTCATTTCTTCCTCACACCACCTCCTCCATATCACCCTCGCCTCGGACCCCCAACTCGTCATTTACCATCTGGGTTCCACTCGGTGGCCTGGCACGTGATGTCCCCTAATGGTCTTCTCAGTGTATGCCCAATCCATCTCCACTTCCTTCTGCATATTTGTTGAGCTATGGGTTCTTGGTTGGTTCGTCGACAGCCACAGTTCCTTGTTGCTTATTCTTTCTGACCATCTCAGCTTCAGTAACACCTTTAGTCTTCCATTATTTACCAGCTGGTCTGAAGTAAATTACATAGTCTTTGCTAAATGCTGATGCTTAGATCAAAATAATGTTTGGTAAATAATGGTGGCCAATGGCTCGAATCCCGCTGCTACCCAAACTTTCATTTCACTTTCAATCAATAACCTGTATCAATAATACAAGTCTACTAAACCCCGACTGCTATCTAAGAGAGTCAAAAAGATAGTCAATATGGTACTCCCCCACTCTAATTCAGTGAGATTGGGATTTAGATGACAAGTCCTAACTAAACAACCAGTGTGAGTACGATCAAGCGATAGTAACTGCGTTACAAATTCACATGGTAGTCGAGCCAAACCCTTGTTGACTGGAATGAAATAAAAATCCCGTCAGAAGTTGGGTATCATAGCTCAGTTTGGTACATCATTGGGCTGGAAACCCGGCGGCCACTGGTTCAAATCCCGCTGTGGTTCAAATTTTCATTTAACCTTTAATCATCATCCAGTATAAATACTTAAGACATTGTTTACTGTAAACCGCATCCTAACTGCATGTCCTTCAAAATATGTTATTTAATGATGCTGATTTTTAAGCTTAACTAAATTGGCCAGCCTCTGTTAGCATATGAGTGCCTCAATACTATTTACTGAATGATGAATAACGGTGAAATACAGGAAGTGTGTTTTTTCTTATGTCAGACTTGTCAGCTGGATGAACCTGCATCCTATAGAATGGTGGTATTCCCCTTGAGAATAATAACTATCAGCCGTCGTTTCAAACCCCAGAGGAATAACCACTAGACTAATAAGTCACCAAAGTCATTCCATATGCGAAAGGGGATCAGTTGTTACTTATTAATACTAATAATTGCCCATTCATTGTTACACTTGACTGGATTCACACATCTCTGATATTTCTATGCGACAACTGAAGTTATTATTATCATTTTTATTATTATTTATAGTAACGGTGGGTAGCGGCTAACAGTGGAATCCAGGATGAGCATTTCCTTCTATTTATGACTCGTCAGCTGGATCTGCCTACCTCCCAGTGAGTGATGTCGTTCCCACCTGGATTCGGACTCAGAAGCGATCGCTTCAAACGCGAAAGCGTTATCCACTACACTACCAAGCCACGATAGCCAGTAGTATATTTTGTCAGAAATGAAATTTTGTGATACCTGTTGGAAAAAAGTGGGTAGTCAGAAGCCATTCACACTGGTCTGCAGATATCAGCTGGATCTGGCTGGTTAACCGACTTTAATGAGTCGGTAGACCATGAAGTCATTGATTAGTTTGCAAATTACATGTTTTCAAAAATAAAACTTGGCCTCTCCGAGCTGACCATCTGCAATGACTCTGTGTGTTTAATCATCGTTGTCTCCGTAGGCTTGCTCGTATCCAGAGGCAACACCATGTAATTCTGAGGTATGACAGCATGTGTTTAGGTATGATGAAGATCGTCATTCAGTAAGTGAAATGATCTGGAAAACATCGACTTTGGTGGCTTTGACATGTGTTACGCATGTCTTCCCAACGGCTTCCACATCGTTCATTGTTTGCTGGCCCTTGAACTGAATGGAAGAAGAAGTGGGGGGTGGTCAGTGTATGACGTAGCGTCGTTGGATAAAGGATTGTTGTATCGGGTTAGCATCTGTTGCTGTTCGAGTGATCACGCAACTCAGTGGCTTGCAAGGTTATCAGATAAGATTCGGAATGGAAACCAGTGGTGGTCATGTTGAAGCCTCCTTCTATAGTCTGCTACTGAGAAGTGGTGAGTGTTTTGTTTTGAATGTATCTAACTGGACTGCCCTTCTAATTATTTTATTCTTATTGTGTTTTTCTTTCTATCTACTTTCCGTCGCTTATTTCTGGATAATGTTATAACATTAATTTGTGTGGTGCATCATTTGATGCCTTTGCTCTGCCGTGTTTGTGTTCTAATCATACTAGTACTATTAATAACAGAATAAACAAGTTGAAGATGGAGGTTAGTACGAATAACCAAACTTTAGAAGACGTCAGGGAATGAAAACATCTATGTCCCTCTGACCGATTTTCATCCATGTCACCGACAATCCGCAACCACTGATTCTTGTTGTCTCAGGAAGCCAGTAAGGAAGTCTATAAGTCCTCACACATACCAACAATCATGGACTACATCGACTGGTGCCACGTCTTCGTCTGGTCACCTGAACCGTCTTCCGAGTTAATCCAACTTCCCCTAGCATCGCACTTCGATGTGGCTCAGCATACTTAGTATATGTTGAAGCCATTACAGTTGAATAACGTCCACAACCTCACAAATCAACTTACCTTTTTCCAAGTATCCTTCACCTCACCCCAAAGTTGCTCACACAATGATTTCACCAAGCTCGGAAAATGGTACCAAAACACCTGTGATCAAAACTCAGTAATCTTTTACTTCCAATGACCAATCTCACAGCAGTACAACAACACAGAACGGACAATAGCGTAGTATACTCGTCCTTTGACAGACAGCTTGATATCTCGCCGACGCCATAAATGAGGCCAGTTGGGAAATGTCGAACAGGCCACTTGTATCGGAGCTGGGGTTCCGCCAGCAAACAACAAGTTCGAGCTGACGCAACTTCTCAAGTAAGCAAAATAGTCGAAGCATTCCACCACTCCACCCCCAATCATTAAACTGACAGTGGTTGCAGACCAATCCTGGGGCATTACCTTACATTTGACAAGTCCAAGTATATATCACACTCGACCAGCACATTTAAAAAAGCGAGTGAGATTGATGTGCTTTCTCTGTAAACACTACTGCTGAAAATTCACGCATCCTTCTTTACTGTGATTTAGAAATACGTTTACCTTCAATCTAACTTGAATATCTCAGGTGAACAGATATGAAATTCATAGGTGATTAAAAAAATTTCAGCTACAGGCTGAACACTTTGTTTCGCTGGACCTTAGATAATATGGTCGACAGTATGTTTAATGGTCAACTCCACTATATTACAAGTCGTTTACACTTTTAGCCTTATTGTAGAAACTGAGAATAATTAACAGGCTACTTTTATTGTTGATAATCACGTACTGCTAGGGTATTCAGAAAGCAAATTATACAGTTGGTTGTCAGTTACTGATGCGTGGTACTTGTTAAATTGAAATCAACTACAGCCTTTGATATTTTCAATTTTCTGTTACTCTACAAAGTGGAGTTGCTCAACCTTTGTTAGGATGTGGTTAACACTCTGTCGTTTGAAGCAATGGGTGCTGGTTTCAAGTTTCAGTAGGTGCAAGAACCCTCAGTTGACGAGCGCTAAACAGGAAGAAGCGTGTATTCTGGATCCTACTCCTAGCTAAAAAGCAGACATCAACATGATGAAATCAACTATGATAAGAACTATCTTTGAATACCTTACTGTATAATTTTTAACTAAGAAGAGAAGTACTACAAAAATCAGCTCATAAATCACTTTCTCACCTTCCTCCAGTATTTGTACACAAACTATGTAAATATTCTATGCTATGCATATTTTCACAACCATAAGAAACAATGTGAAGAGGATGTTTTAAAGTTTTAACAACATTTTCAAGTATTCCTGGTGATATCATTGAAGATTCACCTTCAGTTATCAAGTATATAGCTTCGAAGCACTAAAAGTCAAAATATATAGTGAGAAAACAATAAGACAGGATAACTTTATTGATAATAACGAATATGAATTCTTTAAAATGACTTGAATATCTTCTGTTGTCTTTTAATTATGAATGTAATACACCAACAGAGGCAATGACTTTGCTGATTGGTCAATCTGTCTATCCAAGAACTAGACAAGTGGTGACTAAAGATCAAGACTTAACTATCCATCTCGACGTATGAAGAGAACTTTGTTCTAGTCAATAAAAACAAATGAACCCTAAGGTAAGTTTGACATAGTGATCCGCGCATTATACTAAATAATTAGGTGACATCATTAGTACTCAAACTACAGTTTTCCCTCATGAGACAATATATGACTAATAGGATACGTCAGGTTAGTACTCATCGCAGACTGACATTAGTTGTAAGACCATTCAAAACCTGGATAGTTATTTCGTCCTAGTATGAAAGTTCTCAGTAGGACGTATTCCTGGCCTCATCAGGAGTCAAACTCAAAACTTCAGGCCCTAAAACTACTCAGCTTCTAGGATTGAAGTTCAGTGATCCACATTTTCCATGATGAATACTATGTCGAAATAAGTGAATCTCACAAATCTTAAAATAATTTAAAATACTTATTTGGCTCCTACCACTAAATTTAATTAATTTTATGAATTTAAGGACAAATCTATCCTCATTTCTGGCATTTATGTCATATTTTTTCATTCCTGTTTAACACATGAGTTTTGTTTTACTTCTATACTTTTCTACGTCGTTAGATGTGCCACTTGTGTTGACTAAAATGTATTCATGAACATTCTACGGATATTTCTATAAACAAGCGGTTTAAGACAGCAGTCGTAAGGATGCTTTTAAGTATGCTTGAGTTATCCACTTTTAAAATCAAACAAACTCATCGTTTGCGCGACGCTTACTGACTACGAAAGCACTTGGTTAGAGGTAGAAGAATTTAAGATGTGAATCTTATTCTGCTGAAGACACTATCAGCTTTATTTTACTAGATCTCAGTGCATTTATAGGATTTATAAAACTCTAAACCAAAATGTAACAACTACGTTACAGTAACCAATTCATGTGAGTACAAGGTTCGCTTCTTGTATAACTAAAATATCATCATGATACGATTGATCCTGTCATTGACATCTCTTTACTGATGGATTATGCCCTTCTAATTGGATAGATTGATTTGCTTCGATAACCGAATCGAAACAGGAGGCATACTGATATATAATGACAAAGTGATTATATTACCTAACGGATCTTCGCAATTCAAAATATGAAGATTTTTAGTTAACTTAAATATGACTTGAAAATGAATTAGTGTTTGTATCATAAAGCTTCTCATGTCACCATTAGAATAGATCACATAAACTTTAGTTAGATGTCCTGATATAATAAGGTTTATCAGCTTCAGTAGACGTGAACGAGATTTTCATTATGAATTCATACCTGCCAAACAATCACGATGCATACTGATGCAGAGACGGATAGAGAGATGGACAGACAGACAGACAGATAAAGTCAATGTAGAACCTGGCACGAAGGTGCATGAGAGATCTGGTATCTCCAGCAGATTTTATTGCTTCTAACAGAAGCAAAAACAAAAGTAAACTTTCGCTGCGCATCAAAAAAGAATACATTTTTATCCACGAGGTATTTTCATTGTACCCGCTGAATGTTTTGAATGACAAGAAAAGAGTTTAGGGTGATACTCACCTTTGTAAGCTGATTTATACTTGATATGCACTCAGCAGTACAGTTTGCACTGAAGAAAGTCAGACGTTTTAATTCAGTAACCCACTGCAAAACGTTTCTTAGTGAACAGTCGTCTACGGCTACCAATTCATTTGAAAACACAAAAGGTTCATCCTGACATCTACCAAATTAAATGTGACATCGAGAAGTCCTACCTAATCATATTGAACAGTTTCATTTTCTTCAACTGGTCAGTAACGAGATACTCCAGAGACTTTATGAAGCGAGAAAATATTTCTGGAGATTGTGTTTTAATATCTATAAGAAAAATTGCTGAATGCTCCTGCAACACACCAAAAATAGATCTGCTTCCAGAAGTTAACCATGTGAGACGATCACGATACAATTCGACAGCTCGTGAAACCCTAAGTTTTAGTTCCTTTATATATCCCCTCTTAGCAGTAACCTTTTAACGTAAGTAGAAACAGTAAACATACATTATAAACATCTCCAGTCTGATCATTTCTTACTCTAACAAATAGATTATCACCATAGCAAGACTTCACATATTTGCCCAGACAGTGATAATAACCTTTCAACATAGAAAATCTAACGTTTAGATTACCTTCTTTTACTAAGAATCCTATGTTCTGTAGTACAGATAACTTGTCAATATTATTCCTTTTCAACCCATATAAACCGAGCCAAGCCTTTGAACCAAGCTGTTTATTCACTGCAGTATATCTTTCAAAAGTAAGATTTTTTCCATACAACTCCTCACTGTCTTCATGTAAGTTATTAAATTCTAATTTATCTCTATTATTTCCTCTGAAACAGTAACTTATCAAAACACTTTAAACATACACTTCATCCATGGCAGCTGAAATTATAAATATCCCAGTTGATCACATCCGTTTCTATATCAAGTAATAATCTTCCAAATTTCCAAAGAAACCTGGCGAGACCAACATTCTGCTAATTCAGATTAGCGCCAATATCTGTAATCACTATAGCGTTAGCCCTGAATTCATTTAGCATGTTCCAACATCTGTCATCAATAGTGAGAATATAAGAAACTGACCCTTTTCGAACTTCTGTGTTTGTTCCTGACGCTTCGTTCTTTTTTTGACCTGACTTCTTTAATGGATAAGAAAGTTTGTCCTAATATGAAAACCGCCTGAATCTTCCACTTTCCCCTTAACATGCTATATCTGTTTTACGAGTCAGTAAAAGTTATATATTCCTTGTCACTCACGTCTAGGTCTTGCGGATTCCGATCCAGTGAATCTGGCGGTATTGCTGAATGTTGGTTAAATTTGTTCAGATGGCTCAAATGGTTGTTGATATCATAGAGGAAGCCTACATGTCTAAACTCAGTAAATCGTTGGTTTCAGTGGTTGGTACTCTGTGCATATACAAACAGAGAGAGGGGAAAAAAGTGTTAAAAGCCTGAAAATCGGTCACTTTTAGCAGCCCTGCTCATCGCGCCCTAGGTAGTTGTCAAGTTAGTAATTGAAGGGTCCAGGTGAGGAAACGAAAGAAAAATCAGAGTAAATCCCGAAAAGACGTGAGAAGAAACAATTACGTGGGGAACTTGAGTGGTTAGGGTGAAATCATAGAGTTAGAGGGGCGGTTAACAACCAGGAGAGACTACAGAAATAGAAATAGGTTTCTAATATTTTGTCTTTGCGAATCGACGTCAGTTGCTTTTTTCATGAGAACTGAAATAGTCTTTGATTAAAGTGGGGCATAAAGTTTCCCTTTTGGAGCTGCTGCAGTGGCTCGCCTGCTGATTTACAGATATTTTCCTGAAGTAGACAGTTTTGATATGTTTTTACTGGAGCCCTTCTTGATGAAGAGTATTTTACTTGACTTTTTTACCATGGTTGTAGCTTTTCATAACCCCATTAACGTGTCAGTTTTCCCACGTGGTTTTGAATCTAAAACCCCGCAAAATGGCCAGAAAAGAGCTCACAACTGTTTAAAATAGACCATGACCTATTTCATTGTGGCCATCTGCACGCAATGTAAGGAATCCAAAATTTGGTATCACAGTGAGTGTGGAGGTCTCGTGCCTGTGGAATACGGAAACGTAGCACCGTATGTGGTATCTGACTTAGCCTGTTATGCCGCTCAGATATTCTCGGGCCTTTCATTGGAGTCAGTTCATTCCTGAGTCAGTGTTCAAAACAAAACCTAACCCTTGTGTTAAAGGCAATTATACTCTCTGTGGACGCAAGCGCCAACAACCCTAAGATGGCATGCTGAAAGTCACGTGCGAAAACCAACCACCAGGTAGGATAATGACATATTATTTTTCTGGATTTACGGGACGATACTCACCCTACGGATGTTATCAGTGAGGATTATTTATAGGCTCTAGTGTGAACAGTACTGTCGATTTACCTGTTTCCCAGGTGGTAGCCATTCCCAAGTTTGATGAAATAAATGGCGTATTAGGTGCAGTTACTGCATGTAAATGTGAGGGCTAGTTATTGCAGGTACTCATAATTTATAAGGGAGTGGAGTTTCGTGACTAATACGGAAAGAAAGTGTGTCATTAACGGCTTACGAAAATGTTGAATCATAAATAACAAATGAATTATGGAGGATAAAAATCAAGAAGGTTTTGCCAGTGGGTGATAAATTGTGTTTATTCCAGTGATGTGAAAAATTATTTTCATGGTGGGATGATAAACACTGGTGATTGTGCAGGTCTGGTTTCTTAGCGCTACTTATTTCATTTCCGTTGGGCCTAATAAAATGATCGTGTAAGAAATAAATGTACTAAAAATATTATCCATGCATGATAAGAATGTTGTGGAAATGAGAGGCACTTCCTCGGTTCCAAAATTTCTTTGGTTTGTCTATGATTGATCCACCTCCAATCCGTTCCGGTATTTTATTCCGAGTGGCGACAACCTTTAAACTGATGTCCATTGTATTCCGTTCACTTTGTCGACGAGTTTGAACATTCCGCTCTAAAAGACTTACATGAAGGAGTTCAGTGAGTGTTGTATGAAACTGTAGTGTGCGAGACGACAGCATCTATAAACATGAGCGTTGATTATCTGGCTAACTGCTATGTTTTGCTGTGCACTGGCTGGAAGGTTGCATCTTGCCAACGATGTTGAATTCTTGTTCGCGCCTGGAAGCCCTAGTACTCGACATCATTTTTGACTGCTCTTGGGTAATACGAGAATGGGGCCATCAAGTAATTCCCCAAGAAAATCGTTGGTAGGCTTGGGAAACTTGGCTGCGAGATCGTATCAGTGATGTCCGTGGAAAAGATCAGCGGAACAATATAATCTCCGTGCAATTTCTGGTTTCTTGGCTACCATCCGGAGGAAGAAGAGGGAAAAAGGCAAGTCACCGAAGAGGAAGGGATTCCTTCTATAAGCCGTGCGTATGTATATAAATATATGTACATATATATGTGTGTGTGGGCAAAAGCGTGAAAGTTATATTATGGATTCGGAATGCTTGTGTCATTTCAACCCGTTCGAATACCCAAAAGGGTGTCAGGAAGCTTGCTATGCTCTTGTTTGTTCCGATGGAGCCCCTCCTTAAACTGAGGTCATTTAAGTGTGGCCGGCTTTACCATACCGCCGAATGCCCTCTCAATAGTGTCCAGATTTTGTCTTGGAGACTAAGAATGAGCTGCTCCGGGAAGCTCTCCACATACTTGCTCATCTAAATATTCAAAAGGCCTGATATATGCGACACGATATGCTACAGTGAACTTATTAGATACCCAAATGTAACCTACTTTTCTTCACAACCTAACCGATCTCACGACTTAACACCTATTTCCTAAAAATCGCCCCTTAAAGTAAACTCTCCACTCCGAAAAGATAAAAGAACTGTCTGTCGGTGCATTTTCATAGCATACAACTCTTTATTATTTGCCCTTACATCTAAGTACTCTGCACCAACATAGTTTCGGTAGACCCGATATGGTAATGCTCAACAGGCAACACCATGATCATTCCCCTCGTAACCAGATAAAGGGTGGTGGTCCGAAGAACAAAAAAAAACCACGAATTTCACCTAAATGTTTATAACTTCATCATACGCTTGTACATAGGTATATAACAAGTTAATACCTGGTCAAATATCCTCTAATCTTTCCATTTCGTAGTGATATCTTCAGCTTCAGGCTGACTTTCATTACTGTCGTGCGCACCTTCATCTTCTTCCACCTAAGCTTACCTCTAAACAGTTGGTTCTGGACACTTCCTCAAGTAAGTTTAATAGTCAGTACAAACTCACCCAGATGTATCATGGTCGATCTACTCCTGCGTATTTTTGTGCCCCTGTTACAAATTTCGCCTGCTGCTCGCTTATGTTATTCACTTTTCAGATTTACTTAACCAGTCCTGCATTCAAATGGAATCCTACAAATCGCATTCGTCAGTGGGAAATATTGGCACCGAAACCTGATGACGAACGCGCACACCCCAAGGTCATGACTGTGATGCGGCCTCACCTTCAAGAATATTGGATGATTCAAACGATGACCGGATAATCTTCAAATTCGAACTGAGCCTGCTTCAACATGCCTCCTATATGCTATAAATCACAGCATCTAATGTATAGCATAACATTGTACATAATAGTTATCTCCCATTACCAAAGTGATCAAACCTGTAAACTGGTTTGTATTCATGTAACCTTTGTTGCATGAAATGTATTATTATTATTATATAGACCGTTGTGGAACAAAGCTGAGTTGAACTCATGGTTTTCGTCGGGTTACTGACAGTTACACAGAACCGGTGAGCTACAGGCTTTAGTTTCAGCGGAAACTTGATACCATGGAAACAAGTCAACACGTGGAAGTGTGATAAAAGCTTTCATTTCAATTCTTTGAGGCTGATCACGTAATTCACAGCAACCTGCTTGTGAGAAATGAGGTGGCCGAAAACATGAAAGTGATATTTTGCGCAAAATCTTCCAAAACAAAACAACATTCATGTCTACCCCTCTAGGTCAAAAGTGGTGAAGACCATGGGTTGAAAATCTGAACATATAATCCCACCAACATTTGTGCTCAATCAAAGTAAATATGGAATACCTTTCAACACCCTCCGTTCTGAGTTTACTGCTTGCAAAGGTGACCTTGAAAAGACTACACAAAGCGAGACAAAACGAATCTCCCCAAGCCATGGAATCCCCCATGGCGGTAACTGCAGGCAGAAAAAATGATCTTAAGAATAGGCCAGCTTACAATGAAAGAAAGAGGAGCTAAAGTATTACCATTCCATAAGTTTTTCCTGCCTCATATCCAGCTTCTTCAGGTGACCGAGTGACCCAAAATCTGAACGCAGAGGAGGATGTAATACCTATTTTGGGCTATTAACGTTCAAGCTATTGAACGGGAGGTTGGTTAACATTCCACACTGTGAAGCGACAGAAGTTCAAAGATGAAGTGGCTTATCAGGAAGTTAGTTGTAGCTATGGAGCAACTTGCCGCTACTAGACGGTGAAAGAATAAAGTAGGACTTTGTGGCAAGTCCACGACTCTCAACAGGGGTAAAATGTAGGGATTTAGAAACAAGACGGTTTTCAACGTGACCCTAGCAAGATACAAGGTTTGGCTAAAAGGACGTCACCAGATGGTGTAGCGGGGGATGTCCCACAAGCTACACAAAGGGGGGCAATTCGTCCAACTGAAGGTCATCTCCAAGCCGACTGGAAAAGAAATCTTATTTTAAAGAATGCCTAAAATCAGGAAGAAACTCGGGCATACGCTAGAGTATTTTTTGCCTTCGTCGACAGAATAAAACACGGGAAGCTGGCAAAGAAGTGGAATTTCAACTGACAGGCGGGGAGACTTTCAAATGTGATGAGTTTTCCCGTTGAGAGGTTTTGA